TTTGGTATTGATATTCCTCCAGCAGTGTTCTTTCCGTTGAGGAGCGTTTTTGCTATTCAGCGTCTTTTATTGTTCCATAAGAATTTTTGGATTGCTTCTTCTATTTCCTTGAAGAATGAGGTTGGAATTTTGATAGGTATCGCATTTGAATTTGTAGATAGCCTTGGGAAGTATTGCCATTTTCACGATGTTAATCTTTCCAAACCAGAAGCATGGGAGTTTTTCCCATTTTCTAAGTTCTGTATTGATTTCCTTTTTCAAGATTTTGAAGTTTTCATCATAGAGGTCCTTCACTTCTTTGGTTAATTCCTAGGTATTTTATTTTTTGTGGGGCTATTACAAATGGAGTTGCTTTCCTAATTTCAGCCACACTTTCCTCATTGTTGGCATACAGAAAAGCCATTGATTTTTGAGGGTTAATTTTATACCCTGCTACTTTTTGCAGGGAAAATTTTATGTATACGAATATATGTGCAGAAGATTATAAAACAATTATAATGTGTTGACTTAGTAACCTCATTGCTCAGAAATTATATATGATACAGAGTTAGACACACTGTTTTTTTGTATTTGAATGAATGATAAGTCATTGATTATCTAATAGTATAAAGAGTTTATGGTTGAAAAGCAATCAGCTGTTAAATAAAAATTTTGACTAAATATGTCTAATTAGGTAATAAAACTCATAGTTAATCTAGAAAACGGCAACAGAAACTTTTATAGGAAACAACACAGACACAACTCATATAGTGAGCATTGAAGTTTTCACCAATTTCCATGTTTAGGGTCCAAGCCCACTCTTAGACCTGCTGGTTCCGACAGACACCCAGGCTGGAGCGGACGTGGACGACATCCGGACGGCAGTCAGGCAGCAGCTTCAAAAGGAACTGATGGCTCTTTTCAGTACCATGCTGCTTAGTGTCACGGCCCTCACTGACAGGTACCATTCTGTCTTCGAAGGTTTGGATACATTTGAGGACACGGGATTGTCTTTGATTTCTGGAGTTTTACGTCTTAATTCTTGAAAATGAAAGCAGGAGAGGGTCAGAATGATTGGAACATACTGTAACCTTGTGGAACTGTACAGTGTAAGGAATGTAAAGATAAATATAAAAGTAAGATAAATTAAAAAAATAAAATTGACATAGGATTACTTAAATACTAGTCAGGATCAAATTCTTTGTGTTTCAATAGAGTTGATTATGAATTTTCAATCTCCTTCAGGACAAGCACGCACACACACACACACACACTCATATGCATTCACACATGCATAGTTTTTTTTTTATTGTAAAGATACTACACAGAGGGTTACAGTTACATGAGTAAGGTAATGAGTACACTTCCTATTGAGCACTGTTACACCCTCCATTGTTTTCCCCCTACCATCCCTTCCCTCCTCCCTACCTTCCCCGAGGTTCTTTTTTTTTTTTTGATTGTGATTGATTACATAATTTCCCGAATTTCACAGTATTGTGGAATAATGGTGCTCATTTAAAGTCACAAGTTCATTCTAACTTTCCTGGAGCAAATTTTCTATCACAGTCTATAACATATAACGGTGCTCACATATACACCATACACACACATGCATAGTTTTTAAAAAAAATTATTTTATTGCAAAGATGTCATACAGAAGGATTACAGTTGCATGAGTAAGGTAATGAGTAATTTCTTTTTTAAAAAAACAATTATTTTATTGTAAAGATGCTGTGCAGAGGGATTACAGGTAGGGAAAAATCCACAAATCCGTGTCAAAAGTGTTCCATGTTTATTGTGGTAGATGAATACCACAAGCAAATGGGTTTGCAGCAGTGGACACCAGCTGAGCGTTGTCTACCTAATTCACTTTGATTCTAACACTTTCTACCTGGAGGTGGAATCAGATCCTACATGTTAGAGGATCCATCCTACTCACTGCCCCCTTGTGATACTGGTCACCAGGTCTAGGGTGTTTACCTATGCTTCTGCTTGACAGTTATCACTTTGAGTCCCCAAGCCCCCTTTCTTGGGTTTGATTAATTTGTTGAATGACTCACTGAGCTCCACACACACTTACACACATTTGTGCTTCTTGGAAAGGATGTGACCAGCATGTTCATAAAGAGGTGCAGAGGGAGGAGCAGGGGAAAGGCAGTGTGGGGCTTCCTGTGCCCTCTGCGTGCTGCAGCCTTTAGGAACCTCCACCTTCAGCGACCTGAGGCTTTTCAGATCTAGTCCTTGTGGGGTTTTTACTTCATTTCATAGGTGTGATTCCTGATGAACTAGATAGAAAACCGAGCAGGGCCTGTCTGCCTCAGTATTCTTTTTGGCCTTCCTATGCCAATTCCTTCCTCCAAATGTGGAGCAGGATCTTCTAGAAACAGGACATCAGCTTTTCATTTTGTTATTTTTTGGCAGTACTGGGATTTGAACACAGTGCTTTTACTTTCTGGACTGGAGCTCTACTACTTGATCCTACACCCCAAGTTACTTTGTGTTAGTTATTTTTCTGATAGAGTCTCATAACTTTTTTCCAGGCCAACTTGGACCATGATCCTACTATTTATGCTTCCTGCCTGGCTAGGATGACAAACAACCAGCTTACATTGGTCAAGACGGGAGCCTCATGAACTTTTTAGCTGTAGTAGTTTCTTGGATTCTTCAGGATTTTTTACCTGTAATATTATATCATTGCAGATAGAGATGCATAGTCTTTTTGCTTTTTTTTCTAACTGGAATGCCTTTTCTTGTTCATCTGCTCTGGATGGGCCTTCGTGGGTTGAATAGCAGCCGTGAGAGTGAGCTCCTGTACTTGTGGCCGCCCCCAGGGAAGAGCTGCCAGCTTTTCACTGTGGTGTTAGCTATGATTTTTCATCTGTGCTTCTTATAAGGTTGAAGAATTTCCTTTCTATTTCTACATTTTTGAGTACTTCTGGTTGCTTTTATGGAAGATTGGACTTTTGGTGGTTTCATTCAGTTGCTTTGCTGCATAAGCATCAGAATTATATCTGGACTTATGCTTAGCTACTTAGTTTTTGAAATTTTATCTTTAAAATGTTCTCTTTTGATTATTCTGTTCTGACAGTTTTACTTAGTTGTTAAACTCTTTAAAATCTTTTATTTATCTTAATTTTTTTAAAGGAAAAGTAGCATGTTTATCTTACTCAATTATTTTTTATCACACTGAATGATTTAAAGTATAATTTTAGTATATGCCAGTTAAACTCATGTAAAATGTACATTCACTTTTTATTCCAGAATTTTCTTTATTAGATGGCAGTGCCAATGTTCACTTACATATGGTCAGTATAATTGTCACTTATACTTTACTTCACATACACTGAAAGCCCCACGTAAAGAGAGAACATTTATCTAGTTCACATTTCCTAACAACAGTAAGTAACCAGAATGGTAGTCTATTATTCCCATTGTACTTACACTCCAGTTGATTTTCCCTCTTTTCCATGCACAGGAAATGCTTGGAGCTTTTTTATGTTTTCCAAACACAGCTGTCCCTGAAATTGCTCCAGTGTCTGAGAGTAACAGATGCTCCTCATTTCTATGGATTGCCTTCCCTTGAGCGGACATTACATGGAATGGCTCACCTCACCACGTTTCCTGGCTGGAGCTCCCATTCTCCTCTCACAAAGCCTCTTGAAATTTGTGTGAAGTACTTGTCAGGTCTCCTTGAGGTAAGTTAAAACAGCAACTTGTCCGATCACAGCTATTTCTTATTTGATGCCAAGTGTATGTGCATTATGTATGTTCTATTACTATGTGTGAGTTAAAAAAAAAGAAAGTAAAACAGAATCAAATGTTAGACTAAATTAAAATGGCTCATATGGACAGATTATATGATGAAGGAAAAGCATTGAGCTTTTTGGTGAACTGACACATCATAAGTTGTGTTAGTGCAGAGAAGAAGTCATTTTCATCTTTAGCCTTACAACAGTTTTTCCTTTAAAAATAGTAGGAATTAAATATTAGGAACTCAAGTGATCCTATCTCATTGAATTTTTTTTAATCTGATGTCAAACTATGATTTGATAAGTCAATGAAAAAATTATAGTTATTTTACGTACCAACAGACCATCAGGAATAAATCTGTGTGTGCATGCGTTTGTGTGTGTGTGTGTGTGTGTGTGTGTGTGTGTAATTTAGTTACTTATTTTGGTCAGGGGGCTTGAACACAGTGCCTGGGTGCTGTCCCTGAGCTCTTCAGTTCAAAGCTAACATTCTACCACTTTGAGCCACAGGGACACTTTCCATTTTCTGGTGGTTAATTGGAGATCTGAGTATCATGGGCTTTCCTGCCTAGACTGGCTTTGAACCGTGATCCTCAGATCTGAGCCTCCTAAGTAGCTAGGATTACAGGTGTGAGCTACCGGCACTTGGCTGAAATTGTTTATATTTGTGTTCCAGGTCATTACTTCTTTTTATGTGGAACGTGGGGGAAATGCTATGTCCTTCATGGGGAAAGGCGTCACAAAGAGCACCATTCTTTGCTTGCTCCACTTGTCCCATGAGATGATGGCCCAGGCTCCAAGCTCGGTGAGGACATTAGATGCTGCCCATGCACGGAACAGTTACTAGAAAAGGAATGTACTGTGTCTAACACATTTCAGCCTGTGGGCTTGCTACATGGAAATGTTCCTTTTTGCCTTTGCCTTTTCTTTTTAGGTGACAAAAGCTATTCTGGGCTAAGGCATTTCTTACAAATTGTATGCTATCAAATTCAAATTTTATTTGAAATTTATTTTGGTTGAAATCTGCGTTCACTTGAACATTGTACTTTGGCTAAATCATGAGAAAAATAGTTTCCGTAGGAAAATTGTTAGGCTTAATGTTTTAGAAGAAGCTGAGATTTTTATTTGCATTGTTTTAGCCAAATAATGGATTGAAACCAAGTCTTAGGTACATTTCATCTTTGTTTTTGATCTTTACAAATTTAACATTGTTTTAGACTCAGTAAGCTTTCCTAAAGTGTTTTGTCCTGTTCCCCCCACCCCCTTCTTTTTATTTCACTTTAGGAATGGATGTCACATTGGTTTTTGCCTTTGGGCACTCACAGCGAAGAATCCTCTCCTCAGCAAGGGCTGGCCTGGTTAATTCCGTTATGGGTTGATCGGGACCCAGAGGTAAGTATAAAAGAGATCCAAGTTCATTTTTATATTGAGATTATATTGAAGATGCTTAGCATCTTCACATTATGGTATTATTGTAGAAACTGTAGTTCGCATTTCATTTATCCCTTGTCTTAACTCAGGATGCCATAATAAAATACTATAGACTTAGTAACTTTAATGAGAGAAACTTATTTTCTCATAGTTTTGGAGTTTTGGGGCAACCTACTTCATTTTAGCTTTCTCCCCTGACCCTCCAGAATCCATACCCTTATTTCCTATAAAACATTCATTTTTCATCAGTAGATCCAAACATCTTAACTCAATACAGCATCAACTCTTAGTTCTAAATCTTAGTCTTATCTAAATATCACTGAACTCAACTGTAGATTAGACTGTAGATGTATTTCTTTCTGAGGGGGAAAAATCCTCTCCAGATATGAATTTGTGAAATTGTACAACTTAGTTGCCTCTAGCTCTGATATAGAACCTCCCAAGATAAACATTCCTAGTCCATAAAGGAGAAATAAGAAAGAAGGAAGAAATTATCATTCCGAGTAAGCCCACAACCTGTCAAGGTGAATTCAAGTATTTCTTAGTGTTTAAGGTCACTTCAACCCCCAACTCCCCACAGCTTTGGGGGTGGCCTTAACCCCCTTCAGAACCTTCTACAGAAGCCCCCTACATGCTGTTGTTTTCAAGGTCATTAAAATGGTCCTCAAAGCACCAAGCAAGGTCATCCTAGCCCACTAAAAAGCAGGACTAGAAAAGCAGGACTAACATTTGAAACCAGGAGTAAACACTTCTCCACCCCCTACCCTCCCAGCTCCTCCATCCCCCCACCCCCTCCCCATTCCCATTTCTGGGATGAGAATAGCAGCCCTGAGGATCTCCAGTCACTTTTGGGGTCCTTGTTCCTTTCCTTGAATAGCATAGATTTGCCCATTATTCAAGGCTTTTCCTCCCCACCATCATTCTACCCTGCTTTCTCTGTACCTGCAGCTCGCATTGGCATTACCTTTGTATTGTAATCAACTCTCTACTTTTATTCCTACGGTCATAACTGACTAACAGACACTCAAAATTTCTTCTGGAATGGTTATTCAGTCACATTCTCCATGCTGTCTCTAATCAGGTCTCATTTTTTGCTTGTCTGTCTTGAGACTTTCCTAATTCGTTACTTTTGTTGTTGTTGTTTACTTAAGTTCCTTTTCAAATTATTCCTCGCCATTTGTATTTAGCTATTAGCACTCAGGAGGAACCATGCCACTTCGTTTGCTCAGAAGCCTTCTAAGCTCTATATACAGTTTCTCTCGCTATAAATTCTACCTTCCACAGAACAGTACGAGTTAAGCACACTGGGGCTCAAGTCAGCTTTTCAATACAGTAACAAATACATGAGCTAATCAGCTTGAAATATAGAAAGTTTAATTGGCTCCCAGTTGTGGAGGTTTCTGTTTGTGGTAGATTGGCCCTTTGCTCTTGGGGCTCTGGTGAGCAGCTTGTGATGGGGCAAAGCTTCTCACCTCAGGGCATTTGAGAAGGCAGAAAAGATACACAGACATGATGAGAGGGGCTCGGGGAGAGCAGGGCTCAGCCCAGGATGGCAGAGAGTCCAGAACTTGCTGAGCAGAGTGTGCTGTGAGGAATGCGTGCCCTCTAACTGTCTCCAGTAGGTGCTTAACCTTTGTGGTACTTGGCAGGTCAGATTCAGAGGGTGTTGGAACTTCCCCGTCAATTCTACTGGGCACTTCCGGGGTTTGTGTTGTCACCACTCTCCAAGAAGCCACTCGGATACGAAGGAAGCATGGACAAGCAAATTGGATAATGGAGAGTTAAGAATAGCCTAGTCTGTCACTGAGGGATTTCTCAGATAATACCAAAGGCATCAAGGATAACACTTTAGAATAAGAAGCAAGGATGAGGGGAAGAAGAAGTGGAGCACAACTCAGCTATAGTTTGAGAAGAAACCATTTTCTCACAAGTGTATCTTTTAAACAGGATAAAGCATGGTCTCTATCTCTGCCTATATTGACTCTTGTTCCACTAGTTTCACGTAGCCTCTACTTGATGAATGCACACAGAAAGAGGTTTCCTTTGTCCCAAGATCCCCAATTCTGGTGCAGTGGTTCCCCACTCCTACAATTGTCATTTCACCTTAGCATCCCCTAAAGAGCTCTATCTGCAACGGTTACATGGATAAATTCAAGCCTTAACATAGTTTTGGGAAGTCACAAATGAGTGCCCTTTGAAATCAAGTTCATTTAGATTTACTGATTAAAAATGTAAGAGAAAAAGATAGCAAGATGTGTCACTTTCAGCCTGTCAGTGGAAATTTATTGGAAAAGCCCAGTCATCTTCAAATAGTCTGCATGCCAGAAATTATGTTCAAAAGCTTCGTGACATTTAGGTGCCCTTTAATGGAAGAGTTCCATTATAATAAGATGTTACATTACTTGTTGTTACATTACTTTGTCGTTTCTGTTTCTTTGTCCATGGATTTTGAGCAAGAAATGATTAAATCCTATTATTTCTGCAAATAAAATTTATAGAATAAAACGTAGAATTTTTGGATCTCCATTCAGAGGTTCTACTTGTTAGGCACTTGTATTGTTTCTTTTATTGACTTCTTTCTTGGCCATGTTATAAATGTATTATTTTTATCTGATAGCTGTCTTCAAAAATATATTTTTAAATCAGAATTCATAAATTCATGAAAATACATCACTTGAATAGAGGGGTATTCTGACAAGTAGATTATACCACATCAGCCTTATTTGAAACATTTTTTTAAAAAATAATTTTGGAAAAAAGAAATCCATGAAAATGTTTCCAACGTGTTAAAACCACTTATTTGGAAAAAAATATTAAGAACTTAAGAAAGGTAGAAAAAAAATAGCAGGTATGCTTTTTATATATGAGAAATAAATAGAAATTGTGTTCTTAAAACTTGTGTAAATACCTGTGCTCTCCTTTGAAAAAGGCCCAGAAGCTGTCATTTCTGTGCTTCTTATTTGTAGCTACCTGTTTTTAACCTCATGTGACATTGGTTTATTCTCAAGTTTATTTTTCTATATTATTACATGCTTTAGTCATAGAAGCTTTATTCCTTCATTCATTATTATTTCTATGAACCCTTCAGTATTTGTTTTTTTTTTTGTGGGTCATGGGGCTTGAACTCTGGGCCTGGGCGCTGTCCCTCAGCTCTTCAGCTCAAGGTGAGCGCTATACCACTGAGCCACAGTGCCACGTCCGGTGAGTGGTTTATTGGAGATAAAGAGTCTCACGGATTTTCCTACCCGTGCTGGCTTTGAACTGTGATTCTCAGATCTCAGTCTCCTGAGTAGCTAGGATTACAAGCATGAGCCACTGGCACCCCGGCTTGTATTTGGGTTTTAAAAGGCAATGTTGTATTTATAAAATTAGGACTTCAATTCACATTAAGAAGTGGATTCTCCGATATGACATCCTTTCTTTCATTGGCAGGTTAGATTCACCTCACTGGGATTAGGAGCAGCACTGACCACTCTTGAGGCTGGCTGTGTGGCCTTGACGAGCAGTTGTCAGAACATTTCTGGTGGGCTCTGGGGCACTGTGCTGAGCATTCTTCTGGACCCACTGGAATGCAGTGTGGTGCGCCGGGAGGTATGTGTGCCTGTCGGGCATCCAAAACCTTAGAAAGCCATTGCAACAGGGCCTATACATTTTATGTATCTCGTGCCTGGGGTGGTAGACTATGAACCGGTAATATCTGATTTGTTCTGACTGAAAAACCAAAAAATAAAATGACAGAGAATGAAGAAGGTATTTATAGTAAAAATTGTAGTGCTTTATTATCATAAGCAAAAAAAATGTGATACTGCATATTTAATGTGAAAATAGTTGCTTAGTTTTATTCTTGCCTGTACTGGGCCTTGAACTCAGAGCTCTCATTTGGCTCTCTTACCCACATCTGTGACTCTTCCACTTAGAGATTTTTGCTGGTTGTATAGAGATAAAGGTCTCATAGTTGTGTCTTCCCAAAGCCGGCTCTGAACTGAGATCTTTAGATCTCAACCTCCAGAATATCTAGGATATAGGTGTGGCACTGGTGCCTGGCTAGAAAACAATTGTATTAGCTGAGTATGTTGGTAAAGAAAACAATTGTATTAGCTGAGTATGTTGGTAATGTTTATAAAATTTTAACACTTATATGGTGTTTTCAAAATAACATTCTTTGTCATATATATCATATAACATGAGAGGATAACTAAACCCTACTTTGTGATTTTTTTTTAATTTTATTTTATTTTATTTGTGAACATACTGTACAGAGGGGTTACAATTGCATGGGCAGGATAATATACTTTGTGATTTTTTTTATCATTATTTCTATCAAAGTAATGAGTCATATGACTGCTTTAAAAACAGTAGTTATATAACTTCAGAGGGTTATAGAGAAAACTACTTTGGAAGTACATTCCTCTCTCTTTTAAATTTATGCAGATACTTGTATTTGAACTCACAGCTTGGGCACTTTGCTTTTTCTACTCAAGGCTGGTGCTCTGCCACTTGAGTTGCAGCTCTACTTTCGGCTTTTTGGTGTTTAATTGGAGATAAGAATTTCATGGACTTTTCTGCTCAGACTGGCTTTGAACTGGGATACTTATATCTCAGCTTCCTAATTGGCTAGGATTACAGATATGAGCCACCAGCATCCAGCTGGAGATATATTTCTTAAATGGTATCACAATAGTTTTTGTTTTGCATTAAACCAAATTCTTAAAAAGAGAAAAATGTATTTTCTATTGAAATAATACATTGCTAAGTCATCACTTAATAAGAAATGCAGTTAAGCAATTCAGGTATAGATCTCTTGGTCCGTAGAATGGACCAGAGATGCATCTTCAGTTATTAGATTACAGTATGTTGGTTATTTCAGGGATGACAACAAGATGGCAGTATTGACTTTTGTTTTTATTTTTAGGCTGCATTCATTTTTCAGAATCTCCTTATAATTCCAATGCCTTCAGAAGTTATAAAGGATTATACTTGGCAGGTGGGTGAAACAATTGTCAACCAGGTATAAGCTTTCAGCATGTGTATTACTCATCTCTCTGCATCTGAGTTCTACATCCTTGGATTCAACCAGGGATTGAAAATAGAGTGAACGAGTATGGACTAGTTTTTTTTTTAATCATTCTTCTCCAAACTCTGTAGCAATTTTTACATAGCATTTTCATTATATGAGGAATTATAAGTAATCTGAGGATTAAATTATATCTCAGAATGTGTATATATGATATGCAAACAACTGTATTACTTATTAAGGGACATAAGCATCTGTGGAGTTTGATGTCCATGGGAATTAAACAATCTACCTTCCATAGACAGTGAGGAAGGCTGTGTTTCACTACTGGTGAAACTGTATGTAAGGCAGCAGAGGTCTCTTAAATAATCATGTGAACACTTTCTTATGCTTGATCATCTTTAAGAATGTTTCTCTGTACTGTTAAAAAATAAATAAAAGTAGTTAATATGAAAAAAAGTACCATATGGTAGGTATTCTAGAAACTCCTCTCAGAGATGGAAGATTCTTCAGAGGCTTCTTGGCCATTCTGTGTTTGAAATGAGAAAACAAAGAGGCTGGCATGTTTGCCAGTAATGACTCTGAGGTCCCAGTGAGGACGACCTCTTTCTGGTTGTCGACTGGGAGCTTTCCTCAGCTACAAATCCAGCCAGTATGGCAGCCACACATTCTGCTGAAGTGGGTGTCTAATACTAAATGATGGGTTTTAGGCCTGTCGTTTTGTTCACGGTCCACATTCATCCGTAGTATGTGTGTGCTGCTTCTCTATTCATGTATTTAATAGGTGAGCCTCAACAGAGTGCAGACATGATTTCTGCCTAGGCTCTGATCGCCCCTTGCCATCCAGGGCAGGAGAAGATAATAGTTACCAAAAGTGATGTCACGGGGCTGGGAAGGTGGCTCAATGGTAGAGTGCTTGCCTTGCATGCATGAGGCCCTGGGTTCAATTCCTCAGCACCACATAAGCAAAAAGAAAAAAGCCGGAAGTGGCGCTGTGGCTCAAGTGGTAGAGCGCTAGCCTTGAGCTGAAGAGCTGAGGGACAGTGCCCAGGCCCAGAGTTCAGGCCCCATGACCACCCCCCCCCAAAAAAAGTGATATCATATCTAGTGGTGTCACATTTTAAAATAATAGAACATTATTGGTTGGTGATATGAATACACTTGTTCTTGGTTTTCTTTTCACACTTGTGTTACAAATTCAGTTCTTATCTATACATTTCTTAAATAAAAATGTATAAAAATGTTTCAGAAACAGTACAGTTTTCATGTACCCTTCACTAGATTCCCTAAATGTTAGTTTATCATATCTGCTTAATTATCATATTTGCTTTAATTTTGTCAGTGTGACGTTTTCTCTCTGAACTCCTGGAGAATCATCGACTCCTTCCCTCCCTCCCTCCCTCCCTCCCTCCCTCCCTTCCTTTCTTCCTTTCTTCCTTCCGTGCGAAAATACCTTACAGAGGGGTTACAATTACATGGGCAAGGTTATGAGTACATTTCTTATCAAGCATTGTTGCCTCTTCCTTTGTTTCCCCTTCCCATCATCCCTTCCCATCCAGCCCCCATCTCATTGTTGCTGCAATGGGTCCACCTGTATCCCTAGTTAAACAATTTGTTTTTTCCCTTCCCCTCCACAAATTATACCAACATTGACACGTTTCTTGTTCCCTAAAATTGGGGATTTCCTACAAATAAGGACATTTTCTTATGTGATCACAGTAGTAATTATCAGAATTAGAAAATTTCTAAAGTTTTTCCAACTGCTCTGCACAATCCTAGCTACAATCTAGTTTAGGAATACATACTTCATATAGTTGTCATAAGTTGTCAGGTTTATTTAGTTGTATTCATCTGAAATTGTTTCTAAGTCCCTATCATTAATAACATTACCACTTTTAAAGTGTAATTTAGCTTTTATAAATATCCTCAATTAATTTATATATAGTTAAGGAGGGTTTCTAAAATATTTACGGTTGTGTTTTTATAGTCTTTTTTTAAAATTGTGAACTGCACAGAGGGGTTACAATTACATGGGCATGATAATGAGTACATTTCTTATCAAGCATTGTTGCCTCCTCCTTTGTTTCCCCTTCTCATCCCTTCCCATACCCCCCCTCCCCGGTCCTCCCCGCCCCCCCCCCCAACCAAAATTGTAAAGTTTGTTTTTTGACATAACGACTTGTACATGTATCCCTAGTTAAACGATTTGTTTTTTTTCCCTTCCCCTCCACAAATTATACCAACATCAAATACAGTGAAAGCAGGGGTTATACCGTGGGAGAGGGACATACAAAGCAACAAAGAAATCATCTTATAAATATGTTAGAAACAATTGCATGAAAGAAAACAAAACATCTGAATACTTATCTTGGGGTTCATTTCCCTAACATCAACTTATCTGACGTTTTTCTGCTTGATTCAGACATATACTGGTTATTGCAAATAAGGGAAACCGTAGGACCTAAGTTTCTTTGGGCCTGGCTTACTTCACTTAATAAAATTTTTTCCAAGTCTTTCCATTTCCTAACAAATAGGAGCTACATCCCAGGGCTTATCATCTTTATATTATACTACTTTTGTTTCTTTTCAAAATAATTCCTGTTTCTTCTTGGAAGCATCGTCTGTTGTTCTTCACAGATGTAACTCATACTTTGCTTCTGGTTTCTTTTCAATTATAACTGATGAGTGTAGCACAGATTCACCCTACGACTAAAGCATGTATTTTAAAGTTAATATTCTAGCTTATCCTTAAAGGCAGTGTTTTCAGTTAGTTGGAGTTCTGTATGACCTAACAGATCTCTGTTCTGCGCACATGTATTGGTAGTCTGCACCTGCTGACTTGAAGCATTTTCTTTCTTGGAAGACTGCCCTTCTTAGGAGTTCAGCAGATGATCTGACAGCCCCAGTTCTCACCCACGGACAAAGCTGGGAAGGAATACTCTAGAGATGGAACAGCCCCGTCAATCGCAGATAGATGTGTGGAGCAGAGCCTGCTGCATGCAGGAAAGGCCTCTTTGTTCCAGGCCTCGTACCATTAGTCATCTGTGGAGAGCTAGAGTCTGCCCATCTTTTGTGCATGTGCCTGGCTTGGCTCCTTTGCTGTGGGTAAAGCTCCATTGATAATGTGCCATTGCTATTAGGAAGCTTTTGTATGTGGAGAAGTGGGATTTAATCACAGCTTAGTTAAAACCAATCAAATTAAAAAATGGTTACATAAAATACATTTCTGTTCATTTGGTTTTCTTTTGAGAAGTTAAAAATATTTTCAATGCACTAGTGGCTTGAATTTTGTAGAAGGAATTAGTTTTTCAAGTAATCAGCGCCAGTAGTGACAAAAAGCTGAGGGCTCTCCATTCCCTGAGACAAGTTTCCACCTCTGATGGGAAGGCTTCCCGAGGATTCTCAGGGATGGAAATAGTAAGTCTGCAGTGAGTTCATTCCTTCACTGCTTCAGTACCGCAGTGTTCCCTTACCTAGCCCCGTGGCCGCGTTGCTGTCTGACATTCTCCAGCAGTGACCCTTGCGGTGGCTGTCCTTGGCCTCTTTTAGAAGATGAGCGAGGGAAGCTAAAATGTTCTTACCTGGTTCTTCTCTTCTTTCTCACTTCCAAAGGCTGGTCTTTCCTGGGTTAATTTTTGCTTTTGCTCTGTGATGGCTGCTTCTGTGTACATTCTCCCCTGACTTTTCTCATACTTACCATTGGGGATCAGTCACTGCCTGTGGAGTGAGTCACTTATAATCTGGGGCTGCACTTCCTTCTTTCTGCTCCCAAGGCTTGGCCTGTCTAGTATTCAGAGAAAAACTCCTTGGTAATTATGTGTATGGACATACTGTGTATATACACATATGCATGCATGTGTGGATATACAAAATTCGAAAATTTAATTTGGGTGATTGCTTTAGAATCCCAGCTTAGTTTTTCTTCCATCATGAGTCCATCTCAGAGCTGAAGTTTTTCCAAGCTCACAGCACCGCTTCTCTTCCATTAGGACCCTGTTTCCTGGTGATTACCCTCCAGCCACCCAGCCTCCCGCCGGTGCCTCACCAGTTCTTGCTTGCTTAAAAATTTCTTGTTGAAGTTGTGCTGTACTGATGGTGTGGCGGTTTCCAACAGTAGGTTGAAGCAAATCCCCCTTCAGATTCCCGTCCCCAGTCTTCAAGAATCAGTGCTACTGACCAGAGTTGGATTTCCATCTTCTTTCTTTCTTTACAGGTCTTCTCATCACTCTCTCCTCTATAGCCACAGTGTTCTCTTTTCATTTCTCACGGCCAATACTCAGTAAGCTCCTTGATTTGGAATCTCACGTGTTCTTTTGGCCCTGACATTTTTTTTTTTTTTAAAGAATGACTTTCTTTTTCTGTGTGTATAGTTTGGATCTTCACTGGCCCCAAAAGTCATGGTTGGAAGGTTTGGGAGACTGTATGTTGAACTATGCCCCAGCCCATTTTTGCTTTGGGGTCAGCCTTGATCTTCTTTTCTATGCCTTCCAAGAAGCTGGGATTTCAGGCTTGTACCAGCTTATGGACGCCTTTTGGTTGTCGTGAGATCTCACTAACTTTTTGCCAAGGTTGGCCTTGAAATGTGGTCCTCTTGGTCTCCATCCCCCTAGCAGCTGTGATGACACACGTATACCACCTCAGCCACGAAGGTAATACCCTTGAAGGATATGTTTATATTTTGTACATGCACCTGGCTGTCATAAAATTTGCAATATCCATCTACCTTGCCCTTCTGCCATGATATTTTTGTCTTCTGCAGTTATCAGTGAAATCATCTATTTGGCTAAAACCTGAGTCTTTATGCTAAAATAAACCTCTCCTTTCATTTATGTCAGAGCAATGAAAAACCAACATACCATGCCTGGTTCATCTTTGCTGAAAGCATATGCGTCCCATTTTAGGCCCCTTGAATTGATTTTCTCTGTCTCCTTATCTTGTGTATTTTTATCTCGTAGACATTTTGTATTGTTTTCTGGGATATTAACTCTTTTGCTCATAGTTAGTTTAGATTTGTATATCTCTTACTGTGATTTGTTTTGATTGCTTGGCTTTCTAAAGCTGGTGTTTCTTTTTTGGCTAGTAAGAGAACAAGAAAAAATGTATTTTTAAAACGTGTTAATTGAAAGGTAAATACAATTGGGTTGATAGGGCTCCATGGTGGTTTTATAATGCAAGGAATAATGATCAGAATTCTAATATCATGTTGCATTTTTACTTCTCACCAACTCTGAAAATGCCAACATCGGCGTCTGCCACATCAGGTGCTATGAGCACTACCATGCCTCCGGCAGAGTAAAGATAACAGGTGGAAAGTCTCCTGAGGATCTACAAATACTCATAAGCTTAGCCTCCCCTTCAGATTTATAGTGCTTACTTTTCTTTGCCTAGAGTAATTCAAGCTTTGTGAATTTAGGACTATAGCTGTTACTGATGAAGGTAGTTATTATAGACAGGATTTTGAAAAAAAATATGTAATATGTAATAAAACTTTCCAATTATTCTAGTCATCATTTTGAAATGTATTTATAAATGTAGTTTCTGTACCACTTCCAGGTTTTGTGTGAGTCATGCATTTTGTTAGGCAGAGTTAAGCTACTGCACTCTAGGGTTCTAGATTTCAGTTATTGTTTTGCTTTGCTTTGGTTTTTTTTTTTTTTTTGATTTTTGGTACTAGAGACAAATCTAGAACCCTACTTGTACTTGCACCTACTCTATTTTGGAACTACACTTCTAACCTTTCATCTTGGTTGTTAATTATTTTCCTGAATTTTTAATGAAGACTTTAATTTGTGATGTTAAGCTTTTGAGTATCATGTGTTTGACAAGTTTTGAACATTTAGGAATAGCTTCTTTAAAAGACAAAACATTGGGGCTGGGAAGGTGACTCTGTGGTAGAGTGCTTGCCAGTGCATGAGGCCCTGGGTTCAATTCCTCAGCACCACATAAGCAGAAAAAGCCAGAAGTGGTACTGGGTGTCAAGTGGTAGAGCGCTTGCCTTGAGCTGAAGAGTTGAGGGACAGCGCCCAGGCCCAGAGTTCAAGCCCCATGACAAATTAAAAAAATAAATAAATAAAAGACAACACATTTTGAAAATAGAAATGGTAAAACTAGCTCTTTTGAGTTAGAGTAATTGCGTAGTGCATAAAACGACCATAGTAGGGTGTAGGTGTCACCTGGAATAGCCCTTGTCTAACCATTGCCTGGGCATGATGTTGGTTTTGGACTTTAGAACAACAGAAGATCACATTGCCTATATCATAGACCTGGGTTCATAAATGGAAGCCTGTGACCCTATTGTGCCTTTTTTTGCTTCTCCTACTTCTAGACCTCTGAAATTAAACCAACTATAAAAACAATCATGTACACACTGTTCGCTAATTTTACTTTTTATGTAAATTGTTCTTATGAAGGGTCGGTCCACAGTGCTGCATAAATTTATTAAATGCAGCAATAACAATTTGATTATCATAAAAGACATTTAAATCGAGGAGGCTTAATTGTAATGATAATATCTATAGAATGAAATGTTAATGGACACTATCAATATTGTTAGTATTCTTAGTGGGGATTGCTAATATTGTTAGTGTCATTATACTTTTAACTGCAGGTACTATATCTTTCTAAAGAATGAGTGATAGTGTCCCTCCTGCCTGCCTGGCTTATGGGAAGTGTGAGGGACATGCAAGGTCACATCTCAAGGTCACATCTCATGGTTAAAAGCCAACACTAAATAGGGTTTGCTATACTTTTTTTTTTTCCGGTGGCATTTTCTAAGTTTTTTCTTTTTCTTGTGGTATGTTTTAAGATTTTGCCTTTATTATAAAGAAATGCTGATTCCCTGACTCCTACAACGAGGTATTAGCAAACTTAGTAGTGGGGCTGCAAAATCTATAGAAAACAGTGTGCAGGCTGATATTGGACAGTGGCAGAGCCTCTCACATTCTTGATGGCCGGTGTAGGTGCGTATGCACATGCACCTGGGTACTTCTTTTTCCAGAGTTGATGCAGTAGCAAGTTATGTGGCAAACAGATTTTGTTATATAGATTGATAGTCTTTTCTGTGTTCTTGAATTATTGATATGCACAAAATATTTCTGAAAACACTTACTTGGACCACATTACTTTGGGTAATTGTTTTGCTGTTGTGTGGGGGTTGGGAAACAGTCTTTGTTGCATTGGTGGCTCAAGTCTGCCGTCATTTCATAGACACATGTGAAATGAAAAATCCCTGCAAGAGGTAGACTGCAGCAGACTAGTGCATTCAGAGGAGCTTTGGGCAGCATAGCTCTGGTTTTGTAAAGTACTTTGCTGTACATTAGGCAACAGGGGGAGGATCTGGGACTGTGGGGTTTCGTCAGGAAGACAGGGTTGTTGGGGTGAGAGGAGAGATCAAGAGATCAAGAAAGAGGCAAGGTGGGCAAATGCAGTCACAGTACTCAGTAGACAGGAGAAAATGGAACCAGGTAAATTGAGGGAGTGGATAGGCTGGAAGTGACGAAGGAGAATGATGAGAGGGCTGGCATTGACTAAGATGCTGCTGTACAACTATTTAAAGATGATATTAATAAAGAGGACGCCATAGACCTTTATTCATATGTTCTTTGTTGTAAAAATACTGTACAGAGGAGTCACAGTTACATGAGTAAGGTAATGAATACATTTCTTATTGGACATTGTTACCTCCTGCTTTGTTTTTCCCCACCATCCCTTCTCTCCCCAGCTCCCCAACTCCTCTCCCCACCCCACCCCCGAGTTGTAAAGTTCATTTTCAACATAGTGTCTTGTAACATCTCATTATTACAATGGGTCAACCTGTATCCTTGTTTCAGCATTTTGTTATTTCCCCTCCCCTCCCCAAATTAGAAAAATATATATACAAGATGCAGGGCACCGGCATCAAATGCAGTGAAAAACAGGGGTTATACCATGGTGGAAGAACATATAAGAGAAACAAAAAAATCATATAGTATATTTTAAATACATTAAAAACAATAGCTAGAAAGAAAAAAACCACTTGTCCCTATCTTGGGGTTCATTTCACTTAACATCATCTTATATGGTCATATGTACATAGCTTCTGAGCTTTTCTGCTTGTCCTAGACTTATACTACTTATTGCTAATAAGGGAAACCATGGGACCTATGTTTCTTTGGGCCTGGCTGGCTTCTCTCAATGTAATTTTTTCCAAGTCTTCCCATTTCCTAACAAATGGGGTGATGTCATTCTTTTTGATGGAGGAATAGAATACCATTGTATGTATGTATACCACATTTTCTTGATCCATTCATCTACTGAGGGGCATCTGGGTTGGTTCCATATCTTAGCTATATGGTGAATAATGCTGCGATAAACATAGTTGTACTGGTAGCTTTAGTATAGCCTTGTTTATGATCATTTGGGGAAATGCCTAAAAGTGTGATTGCTGGATCATAGGGGAGCTCTATGTGGAGTCTTTTGAGGAACCTCCATACTGCTTTCCAAAGTGGTTGAACAAGTTTACATTCCCACGAACAATGCAGTAGGGTTCCCTTTTGGCCACATCCCTTCTAGCATCTGTAGTTATTAGAGTTCTTGATTATAGCCATTCTAACTGGGGTGAGGTGGAATCTCAATGTTGTTTTGATTTGCATTTCTTTTATGGCTAGGGAGATTTCTTCATGTGTCTATTGGTCATTCTTATTTTCTCTTCAGAGAAATTTCTCTTTAAGTCTTTAGCCCACTTATTTATCGGGCAGTTGTTTATTTGAGGAATTGTTGTTGGAGGATTTAGTTTTTTGAGTTCTAAGTGGATTTTAGATATGAGACCTTTGTCCGTTGTATGGCTAATGAAGATCTTCTCCCAGTCTGTGGGCTTTCTGTTGATCTTGCACAATAGATATTTTTGAAGAAATACTGTTATAAACAAATGTCTGTCTTCTTGCAGGGCCCCTGTGTCCATGATGAGGACTCTGGCATGTCACTCACAGGAAAGCCTGCCCTTCAGGCTCTTTTGTATCACTACCATTTTTATGAGCATTTGACACAGATGGTGAAACATTGTTTCCTAGGACGATATATTTTCCATTCCCCATCTTCTCCTTTTGCTGGGACTTCGGGGGGCAATGACTTAAATAGTAAGTATAATACCTTTATATATTTATTTTTATGAAGTGTAAAATTTCAGAAAGATTTAAAAAATATGTGGTTCTTTTATTTTAAAAAGAAGAATAATAAAAAGTACCCAAGAAAAACAGTCATTTTCAATCCTGTTGTCTGCCCTGGTTGTGTTATGGTCATTTCTTCTGGTCTTCTTTCTCTGTAGTGCTTGTGTTTGTTCTGTGTAATGATGTTCATGTCAGAGCTATATTTCTGTATTCCCTTCTCTCACTAAACATTGCCTAAGCATTATTCTGTGCTATGAATTCTTCATGGAAGCCGCTTTTAACATCTTATTAATGTTTCATAAGCTAATTTATGCCATTCAGTAAAGTTGCATAGCTTTTCTCCTCCAACAGTATCTTAAACTTTTTTTTTGAAATATTCATTCTTCGGCAGTCTACAGCTCTTGGTTTGTTGTTTGTTTTTCACTGTTCTTATCAATGAGTCCTTTTCCATGAAATTTTCAGAATCACCTTTGGTTTGTTACTCATTTAGCAAAGTCACCCTTTCTCTTTGTAGACGGTTGGATTTGCTGGAGAGCAAATTGTAGCAAATAGGAATAATAATTTTGTCTCATCATACAAATAGCTTGTACTTTTAAATTAGTTTTTTTTTTTTTTGGTCGGTTGTGAGGCCTGAACTCTGGGCCTGGGTGCTGTCCCTCAGCTCGCTCTTCATGAAGCTCAAGGCTAGCACTTTACCACTTGAGCCATACAACCACCTCTGGCTTTTTCCGCTTATTTGGTGCTGAGGAATTGAACCCAGGGCCTCATGCACAGAAGGCAAGCACTCTACCACTGAGCCACCTTCTTATCCCTTTTAACTTAGTTTTAAACAATTTTTTAGGTTGTTACCATCCTTACATACTTAAAAAGAAAAAGGCTCAGGAATAGTACAAAGTTCCCCAATTATTAATATCTTACTGTATTTCTTCATGTGTTTGCATATGTGATGTGAGTATGAGTTAATTTTATATGCTTGTATGAAAGTACATGCCTTTTCATTTATTTAAGATTAAATTACAGGCATGTGGTTCCTGTACCCCCAAGTACTTAAGTGTGAATTTATAACTCAATACTCTGTTCTCTTCTTGAAGACACTGAGGAAAAGTGGAGTTTGACGAAGCCTCTGAGACTTCTAAAAACTGTCTGTGATTAAAGTGACTTGCTTAGTTGCTACTTAGAGCGTGGCCTAGAAGCAAAGGGCCGTCCTGGGAGCTTTCTAGAAAGGCGCATTCACTGCTCCTGCCCTGGCTTAGGTCACTAGGTCCTGGGACTAGGGTTCTCAGTGACTCTTGTGCATACTGAAGAACCTCTTTCCTTAATTCATGGTTAGTATCTCATAATAAATACTTCTGTTAAGTGTTGCATTCCCCAGGAGAGTGTCCATCCATGCTAATAGCATTTTTCTCTGACACAGGTTTAGATGACTCTTTCAAGTTTTGGAGAGCCTCGTCCAGAATGTCCAGTCAGGATCATGATCCAAGTTCTCTCTCCACCTCAGAAACAATGGTACCTGCAACGATGCCAGAAGTGCTTCATTTTAAATACGAAAAAAAAAAAATCATGTGTGGTAGGGAGATCAGAATGATGTAAAACTTAAGGTTATGATCATAATAGCTGTGGTTTTTGTCTTTTGAAGTGCTTTCGAGCAGAATTCTGCTCTGCATTTACTTAAATTACAATATTTGTTAGCCACATAATGGCTGCCTTTTTGCTTTTCCACGTGACCAGGTTACTGAGAAGTGAGGTGACTCTGGTCAGTGGTGCTATAAGTGCAGAGCTAGAATTGCTGCCGTGAGAGGTTGTCTGGCTCTACTTACAGCTGTGCTGTAAATTATCCTTCCAGTCTTTTTCACCCTTCTTTCCTGCCTTGTATGGTGCAAACAGAAGCAGAAGAGTGCCAAAATGTTTATCAGAAGTCGTAGAAAAGAACAAATCCCCTGTGATTAAAAATGATTGATTGTTCTGAAATGTTCTAAAGGCAAGGCAGTATGTAAAATTTCCCCTTCTAATGATCCAGCCTAACTGATCATTTTAAACATGTTTATAAATGCTCAAATAGAAAGTTGTATTGCTAATCTGAAATACTGAAATTTACGTATGCCTGTACACCTTCCTTCCCTCTTCATTCATGTTATGCATGTTGTTCATAATGATAGATACTAGCTTTCAGTTGTATACAAGCATATAAAAACTTTTTTTTTTTTTTTTGCCAGTCCTGGGGCTTTAACTCAGGGCCTGAGCACTGTCTCTGAGCCGATCTGTGCTCAAGGCTAGTGCTCTACCACTTAAGCCACAGTGCCATTTCTGGCTTTTTCTGTTTATGTGGTACTGAGGATTCGCACCCAGAGCTTCATGCATGTTAGACAAGCATTCTACCACTAAGCAACATTCCCAGCCCAATTAAATATTTCTAAACTAGAAAACTCATTTACTTCTTAAATATTTCTGAGATAATGGCTGTGTTGTAGAACCTATTAGCAATGCAAAAAAGTTTATTAAACCCAGCTTTCAAAAGTAAAAATAATATGAAAAAACAACTAAATAGAAATTGTGCAGCCATTAATCATACTTACTTCCCAGAATCCTTAACTAGAGTAACACTTTTTTCCTGCAATTTTAGTTTTGTTTTTTTTTAGATTCAGAAAAGTTTGTGCTTAGTGCTAAATTGGAACCTTATGTGAAAAAGTAGGCTAATTATTCTGCTTCCACTAGATGTCATGCTTTCCTTCCCATCCTAGAGAAAACATATGTTTGTTTTGGGAAGAAAGATAATACATTTAAATGCCAAAATAATGTAACTTTTTCCCACTAGGCTCTGCTTTCTAAAGCTTCCACTCCCTCCCAGGAGTGCCATCTCAACAGAAAAATCTGGGTAGAGTGGCATATCCTGTCATCCCTATAGCAGTGGGTAACATAAATAGTAGGACTGTTGTTGAGTCTAGCCGGGGCAAAAAGCAAGAACATCAGAGCAAAGGGCTTCCAGGCATGACTCAGTGCCTGCCTAGCAACACAAACCTGGGCTCAAATCCCACTGAGGCCAAAACAACATCAGAAACAGAAATAATTATTATTTTTACTCTTTCACAAAAGAGGAGATAAAAGCATGGCTTGCGGCCCCAGCACTTGGTACTGTTGTGCCCACAGTGCTGTATTCTGCTTCACAGCCAGATGTGAAGAGTCACAGGCAGGGTACAGGGGTTTCCACCTTAGGAATGGTGAGATAGAAAGTGGTTTTGTGTAGGAGTCATCAGTGGAAATGGACTGTAAAGGACCAACTCCTTATAGTCGCTCTCATATTTGCATGCATATTTGCAAAGGGTTGAAATATGCAAGTATGTCTTAAGTATATAACTACATAGTTAAATGTGACTAATAACAGTCTCAATAGAAATGGATCCAGGGGACCTTTTGAAGAAAAAGTCATTCTGGCATATGCATCAGGAGTGTCTGTGTACATAACTGCATTTTGCATGTATTTCCTGGAGTTTTGCTCTAGGAAAACTAGAGATGGCAATGTGCATCACAGTGGGGAGAGTGAAAGAACAATGCACTTTGAGACTAAAAGTCTTGTATATTGTAGTTAGAAAGGAAATAGAAATGGTAGCTGAGTTCCTCTGTATTATATAGGCCACTGGACTGCAATATAACAAAAACAAATCTTGTTTTGTTTTTAATTTCTTTTGGAAAAAAGTTTATTAATAAAACTTAAATACTAATGTTAGTACATCTATATATTAAGTTTTTTTCCAGTACAGTAATGTTTAGTATATAACAGCGAACACAAAAGCAGTTGAAAGTATTCATGTGCTCTATTATATAACTTGTATTATGTGGTAAAGAAAATTTTAAAGTTCTTTTTTAAAAAAAAAACAGTTTAAACTTCCTCCTCTTCCTTTCCTTCCCCTCTCTTTCTTCCTTACTTTCTTTTAAAATATTATATGTAATCTGTTAGATGATGAATCTGTAACAGAAGTGACTTAAACTTGTTGTAACTTGTTAAAATGGATGATTACAAATTGCCAGGCATACCAGAGCTTTTCTGCTCTTGAGTCTAAAAAAGAGAAAGGTATCACTTATGAAAACAAACATGTGTATCTAGAAACTCCTAGAAACTTTCCATACCTCACTATGTTTCATAAAGGTTGTTAGATTTGTACCCTAATTTTTTCAGTATGGGGAATCTTTGTTTTTTTCCTTTGTACTTTTTCAAAGTTAATCTGCTTAAGTACCACATTTTTCATGAGAAATGACAAACAGTATTATAAACTTATTTTGACAAATGCAATGTCCTCCTCTCTGTATTTCAAAATGTTAGTAGTATCCAGTGAAGTCTTTTATTTCTGGAAGACAGAATACAGAGATCATTTTAAAATCCTGATTCATTTTGTTTATATGACAAATTGTTTATACTCAAATTTTACTTTGACACACAGCAAATTGGCTCTTCTATTTTTTGCTGAATCAATGGCCTGAAGTCTGAATGGACTTTCATGATTGCGGTACTTTTTATTTTTTTTAATAAGGAATTCTTCAGGAACTTGTGTGTCATCATTGTGCAGGAGTGTGATGCTTATTTTACATTGAACTCTGATTTAGAAACCATTAGTTATCAAACCTGAAGAAAAAGCATCTTTTTCAGTTCTTTCCAACAGAATTTAAGTCTTTTTATTTGTTTCCTCTGGCTTTATGGAAGTATATATTTAAGGTGCAAAATATAATCTCCTTTGAGTTACTGATTCATGTAAACTAACGGTTCCTGTAAGAAGTGGTAGGAAATGCCATTAACAGAAACCAGCTGTAACTCAAGAGTGGAACGTGGCCTAGCTGTGTTCCAAGTGTAGTTCTGCTGTGAAGCTTGCTGTGAATGTTGCCTTGTGTGTTGCTTGTTTATGTGAACACTGCTATGACATCATTTCTCCTTGTGATTCACAGGTGACAGCTTCAGTGGAAACTGCTGACTTTCACCCACTTGTGTCAGCAGTAAATCTTCCGTCTGAAGCTTCGCATGAGCAGTTTGTGGACCAAGGTACTCTTTTACATGGCTATTCTGCTTTAAAAATAAAAGTAATAAATCAACCCAGAAAAGCATTCTGAAAATAAATGAATGGCAGAATACTGAATGTCTCTGAGGCTAATTAGGTATGTGGCCAAAAATACAGGCTCCATCTCAAAGGGCTATTTCTATGTCAACATCAGAATAGATAATAGTAACAGTATAGTATTCAGCGGACTCCTTGAATTGTACTGAGTGAATGAGTGACTCTGGGGGAGTGCTCTTCAGATACTAGAACATGAAATTGTTAAAAAAAAAAAAAAGATGAGAAAAAAATCACTATTTGGCACATATGGAATCACCCTAGTTTTATAATGGAGAAATGTAGACACTCCCTTCATGAAATAGCCAACGTTAACACCTGCAATGGGAAGACACAAATCAAGTTTCCTCTTATTAGTGATACACTTCCAACCATGAGGAAGCCTCAGTTAATTTTACAAAACCTGACTTCCATTCTTAATAGAATGTCTGGGTCAAGAAAGAGAATGCAAGCTGGCACAAGCGGCTCAAGCCTGTGATCCCAGCTACTCCATAGGCAGACATTGGGAGGAATGGGATTCAAGGCCAGTGTGGGCAAAAACGTTAGCAAGATCCTATCTCAAGAAATAAGCCAACCTGGCTTTATATGCCTGTAACTGTACCTGTTGGGAAGACATAGATAGAAGATTATCATTCAAGGCTTGCCTGAGGCAAAAACGTAAGGCTGACTATCTGAAAGTTAACTAAGAGCTCCCAAGGGCTGGGGGAATGGCTGCCTGGTAGAGGGTCTGCCTAACTAGCATGAGGCCCTGATTTCAAAATCCAGTATTGCCAAAAACAAACAAAAAGACAAAGCAAGACTGAGGGACTTTTCCACTTTAAAAAGCTGAGACAAAACAAGGTCCCCAATGGGTCCAATCAAGAAAAGTAATTTGTTTTGTTTTGCTGTGGAGAAGGTTTGGGTGATGATTGACAAAAGTTGGACATGTTTTATAGATAACATAGTGTTGTTCCATCAGCGTTAATTTCTTGTTTTTTAAATAACTATGCTATGGTAATAAGAGATAATGTTCTTGTTTGTAGGAGATTAATAAGGGGCGTTATATCTGCAGTGTACGCACAATTAAAAATACAGGCCAGTGGAAAGGTAGTAAACTAAATATGGCAGAACAGTACTTAGTACATCTGGGGTAAAAGTATCTGAGAATTCTTTGTACTTAAGTAAGTAAGTACAAAGTCTGAATTTTTTTCTGTAAGTATGAATTTCTCAAAGCTATGTTATTTTTTTTGTTATTTTTTTATTTTTTTTGCAGTTGTGGGGGCTGAATTCTGGGCCTGGGCGCTGTCCCTCAGCTCTTCAGCTCAAGGCGAGCGCCCTACCACTTGAGCCACAGCACCACTTCCCGCTTTTTTCTGTTTATGTGGTGCTGAGGCATCGAACCCTGGGCCTCATGCATGCAAGGCAAGCACTCTACCACTGAGCCACCTTCCCAGCCCGATATGTTATCTTTTAAAAAGGTAAAGTGTTAAGACAGATGGGACCCTAGCTTCAGTTTTAAAATACCTGAACTACTGAAAACTCACATTTCCTCAGATCTCAACTTGTCCATACCTGTCAATCAGACTTGACCAGGGGCCCTGTTCATTCCTTTACTCAACCTGCTATGGTTTTTTGTTTACTTCACCATTGGAGATATTAATGAATTAGTGGCACATGAATCTTTTTCTAAAATCTAAAATATGTTCAGTTTACAACTACTTTTGCCCCAAGAATTTCAGAAAAAGATGATGGACTATCTGTCCCTCAGTGTCTGAGGCCAGGGGCACACACACTTCCTGCCTGGGCTGTTCTCCTCTCTCCAGGAGGTACACATGCACTCATGTACACATGTGGACTCGGACCTGTGCGCGAACACAGTCGGTGGCTCCTGTGACTGGCTGTCCTCAGGGCTAAGAGCAGCCACATAAGCAGGAGGAGTGGCCAGCCATCCCTCGGCATCATTTTCAACAACTTGCCTGTGACTGTAAGGACTTGAGAACAGTGAGAATAACTCCAAGGTAAATAGTAATTTTGATGCCCATTTTCAATAATAGGTCCACATGGAGCCACACCATCACGACCTCTCCGTGACTCATCCCTGTCCGCCCAACTGTCCAAGCCAGTTACCCCATCTCTTGTTACCCCATCTCTTCTCTCAGCAGTCTGCAGCCTCTTGGACAACCTCTTGGTAGTTGTTCCAAGAGACACTGCAGATGCCTTGCAACAAGCCGGTCTCCCAGAGCTTCTCTGTAGGTAAGAGAGCTACTTCACGGTATGTGTAGTGGTAGACACAGCTTTCTGAAAGCTCTTTTCCTGGATTCATAGAAGACACCTTGTGTACTGGGAATAGATTCTCATTCTTTTGTTTTAGTCATTATACTATCTGTCAAGCTTTTACTGTCGTTACAATTGTCTCAACACTTTTTTTTTAAATACACTTGTGTTAACTTCTTATCTTGATGGTTAAGGCTAGTGTTGTTGGGTTTTAAGGGTTCTAAGCCTTCAGGCATATTCAAGGAAGGTGGTGCAATCCTAATTCTGCTTCCTTGTAAGTGAAGGACCTATCTCCCCAGTAATCATATCAGAATGATGTTCCTGGATTGAAAATCATTGAAATCATGTGGAATATTGGATTATGAGAAACTAAACTTTCCTTCAGAAACTATTCCAATAAAAGTTAGAGAAATAGTTATTTCATTCTTTGAATTTTCACTTAGTTTATTAAGTCTCTGTTATAATTTTTTTTCTGATTTTCTTACACAGCATAATAGGAAAGGCCTATATTGAATTCAGGCCTATCTAAAGTCACAATTAATGCAGTCAGTAGTGGGGCAGTGTTGGGATATTTTGTTTCACTTCACTGGGTTGTGATTATGCCTTTAATATTTATTTGCCATGTTTTTCTACTGTGATGCCTACAAAATTTGCAAAAGTAACTCTAGTCAGGTGACTCCCTTCATGTCTGCTCCTTTATGACCAACGGGAGCTTTAAGAGCATCTAGGCTTCATATGAGCCAGCTGAGTTGGCTATGGTTCTAAGACCATAATGCTCTGGAAGCAAAGGCTTACTGTATTTTCACATTGCTTTTTATTTCTTCTTTTTACATTTATATTCATTTTTTATTTTTAAAAAATTTATTGTTCTTATAAAGGGTGAAGTACAGAGGAATTATAGTTTCCTAAGTCAGATAAAGAGTACATTTCTTTTTGGACAGTGTCACTCCTTCCCTTGCTCTCTCCCAATTTTTCCCTTCTGTCCTCATCCACAAGTTGTATAATTCATTTTCAGCATAGTATCTAGTGAGTACCACTGCTACATTGTTTACCCTTTGTCCCTCCATTTCTGTTTCTCCTTCTTCCTCTACCAAAGAGAGATAAATGGACAAATAAGACAAAAGGAAAAGAAAAAGGCAAGAAAGGAAAAAAAAAAAACCTAGAGTTCATTCCTAGAGTTCATTTCAATAAATATTATTTTATATGATCAGATGCACATAGCCTTTGTGTTTTTCCCCTAAGAGTGTTCTCCTTTGGTCTTACCGTGTGTGAATGCCTACAGTCCTGTATAATTTATTATGTCCCAATGTATTTTTTTTAAAAACATCCAGTGTGTTTACTTGTAGATTTATAGGCACATTCTAGCTACCACAAATGAGAGAAACAATGTATCTTACGTTTTTCTGGGTCTGGCTTACTTTTTTTTTCAGTTCTTTTCCATTTCTTTATGAATGGTACAATATCATTCTTTTTGATGGATGAGTAAAATTCCATTGTGTATATATATCCCATTTTCATGATCCATTCATCCATTGAGGGGCATCTGGGCTGATTCCGTATCTTGGCTGTGGAAAAATAATGCTGCAATGAACATGGTTTTGCTGGTAGCTTTAGTGTAACTTTGTTTGTGTTCTATTTTATAATGCCCAGGGTAGCTTTATGTTTAGTCTTTTGAGGAACCTCCATTACAAAGCCATTATAGTAAAAACATCTTGGTACTAGCATAGGAACAGGCCTGAAGGGGCTGGGAAAGTAGCTCAGTGGTAGAGTGCTTGCCTTGCATGCATGAGGCCCTGGGTTCGATTCCTCAGCACCACATAAGCAAAAGGAAAAAAGCCGGAAGTGGCACTGTGGCTCAAGTGGTAGAGCGCTAGCCTTGAGCTGAAGAGCTGAGGGACAGCGCCCAGGCCCAGAGTTCAGGCCCCACGACCGGACCAAAAAAAAAAAAAAAAAGAACAGGCCTGAAGACCAATGGAATAGAATAAAAGACCCAGAAAGGAACCCACAGATCTATAGCCATCTGATATTTGATAAGGGAGCCAAAAACACAGGTTGGAAGATAGACATCCTCTTCAACAAATGGTGCTAGATCCTTATATATCACCTTGCACTAGAATCAATTCAAAATGGACCAGTGACCTCAATGTAAGGCCAGAAACCATGAAAATATTACAGGAAGGGATAGGGGAAACACTAGGATCCTAGTTACAGGTCAAAACTTCCTATGTAGGGGCTTGGAAGGTGGCTCAGTGGTAGAGCGCTTGCCTTGCATGCATGAGACCCTGGGTTCGATTCCTCAGCACCATATAAGCAAAAAGAAAAAAGCCGGAAGTGGCGCTGTAGCTCAAGTGGTAGAGTGCTAGCCTTGAGGTGAAGAGCTGAGAGACAGCACCCAGGCCCAGAGTTCAGGTCCCACGACCGGACCCCCCAAAAACACATACAAAAAAAAACTTACTATGTAAAGATCCAGAATCACAACAAACCAAAGAAAGACTGGATAAATGGGATTATATCAAACTTAAAATTTGTTTCTGTATGTCAAGGGACATAGCTAACAAGCTAAATAGAAACTCCACAGAATGGGACATTTTTTTATCAGCTGTGTATCAGACAAAGGCCTAGAATTGTTTTAGTCTTTAAATAATTGTACAAAGGGATTTCATTTCACCATGCCAGTATGTACGTGCATCTTGATCAGTGTCGCTCTTTCCTCCTCACTCTCTTCTTTCCCATCTATCCTAGCCCTTATTCCTTATTTAAGAATAATTTCCTAGCTGGGGACCAGGGGCTCATTGGCACCCTGTAATCCTAGCTATTTAGAAGGCTGAGATCTAAGAATTGAGGCTTAAAGCCAACTGGGGCAGGAAGGTCCATGAGACTCTCTATCTCTAAATAACCATCAAAAAGCTGGACATGAGTTGTGGCTCAAGTAGAAGAATGCTAGTCTTGAATACAAAAGCTCAGGGATAGCACCCAATCCCCAGGATGTGGATGAAAAAAAATCCTGTTTGTTTACTTAACTTTGTCTTTTACTTTTAAAAGATGACATATTCCCTAGCTTGTATTTTTCTTTTTTTAATGGGAAAATAAGCACCAAACTTTTGTATTTTATTCCACTTTTAATAAGTAAGCAAAGGTATTTTTGGCTTCAGAATTCTCTGTTTCTCACAAGGTATATTCCTGTATCAAGATATATTCCTATTTTCTGAAATGCTGGGTAGAGATTCTCTTTAGTTATAAAAGGATTTTCTTTCGATTTAATTCAGGTTTTCTTTCAAACTTAAAGTCCAGCTTTATTAATCTTCAGTAAGATGCGTACTAAGAAGCTGAAGGATATTCTTCTCTGTCCTTCCTAGCATCGTGGATGTCCCACTCATGGAGATGTGCATCCAGGACCTCAGGACCCCACTACCTGCCTCTCCTCCAGTTGAAGACACTCAGGCACAGGTAAGTATCTCATCTGCCTCTCACCTGGGATTTCTTTGCCGTCAGCAGCCCCTGCTGAGGGTGAGGGTGGGGGTGGTGAGTCTAACCATAAAAGGATGGCTCTTGCAGTGTGTATAGTACGATGTGGCTGTTGGAAATAGGTTACTTACAACTTTGAGGCCCCCTACATGCTCTCATGACTCCTAATTAACCAGCTATAAACTTTTAATGAGGTGTCCAGATATCATGGTGCATCACTTTAAATGGGCATTGGTGTAGCCCACCAACCCTCTCTGTGGTTTTATGGCTTTATCACATCTGCTCTTTTCATGTGAGTCAGGTTGCTAAAACTTAAAATTAGCTGGTAGTTTAAAGCCCAATCTGATATGAATACATCTATTCTTTTTTTTTCCTTCACAGATGTTTACTATTTTTAAGTTCTGGTCTATAGCTAAATGACTTTTGTGTAGTTCTTGCTACTAGACATTTTATTTCAGAATGCAGATTTATTTGGATTGTAGAATCATTAATCTTAAGTAAGAAATGATGTGTTTAATACAGGTGATAAAGTCAAGGTGAAACCACTGTCCTTTTCTCTGAGATGTGTTCTTAGAGCAGACTGACTGTGGAAGACCTCATTATGGGGTAGGGAGCACTGTGAATCACCTCTGGAGCAGTGTTCCCATTCCAGTTTGCATCAATGTTTTCTCCAATTCTTATCTGTCTTTTCAGCAAATCTATTGAGTATCTTCCGTGTACCAGAATCTTTCCTACATGAGTAGAACCAAGATTTCCCCCTATTGTTAGGAGACAGAAAATGAATAAATCCGTGTATAACTGAGGATGACAAACATAGAGCAGGGGAACTTCTCAGGCAGTGATGTGTGAGCCAAAATGAGTGGGAAAGCTGGTCTTGCAGAGTTAGCAAGGCCCTGGGGAGGGGATGTGCTTAGAGCCAGAATTGCTGGCGTTAAATCTGAGCTGGACACAGCAAGCAAAGTGAAGGAAAGGCCTCTGGCTTGTGTTGGTCTATTTTGTTTCCTGGAAGTGTAGCATAACACTTTTCCCAAGGCTCACTTTCCATGGTGCTCACTTAATACTTAAGCAGTGCATATGGAGTATTAGTGTCAAACTTCATGAGTGCTTTCTACAGTCCCCACAACAATAATATCAAGTTCAGTAGTGCCATCAGGTTACAAAGAAAATGGCAGAGGCGAGGATCTCACAGAGCAGCGGTGCTAACCATGTAGGTGGGTTCCAGTCCCACAGTCTCAGTTCTGCACTGCCTGCCTTATGTATATTAAATATATCCTGTGTGTTGGTGCTTGTATAGGATCTTACAATTATTCCAGAATATTCTTCAGCTTTTATCAAAGTTTGCTTTGCTTGATATTGATACATAACGTGAACCAGGACAGAAGATGGTGACAAATAGCTGGAACAAATCAAATAAGGATGAGTTAAAAGGGTATGGAAGCCGGGGAGGCAGACAATATTTTCAGTGTGTGTGGTCAGAGAAGATACCACGAAGGTGCCCTTTGTGCTGACGAGTGAGCACTGTGGTCGCGGGGGCAGAACATGTGGGCAGAATGGGTGGATAGTTTGATGAGATTTAAGGCTTTGTGTTCCAGCTTGTGGTTGGCATACTTCTCTGGAGTCATACATACGAAAGTTACTTTGTGAGTTGTCATGTCAGTACTTGACCACAAGGGTGAACAAACGCCTGACTCTTCATCAGAATAGGATGAAGTATATGTGTGTGTACATATGCTTATGTGTGTGCGTACATGTGTATGAATATGCGTTTATATATATTTGTATGGAATAGCTCATTTCGTGGGTGTGGTAGAGGCAGAATCATGGGTTTTTGCTTCATTGTAACACATTTAGGGGATTTTAAAAAAAGAATATGGATGGTATAATACTTATAATATTAGAATTAGGAAATTCTAGGTATAGGTTTATTGGTAATATTCTGAGTTTAATTTCTTTTTTCTTTTATATTTAAGAATAGATTTTTTTTTTTTTTTGCCCAGTCCTGGGGTTTGAACTCAAGAGCCTGGGCGCTGACCTTGAGCCTCTGTGCATGAGGCTAGCGCTACACCACTTGAGCCACAGCACCACTTCCAGCTTTTTCTGATTAGTTTATTGGAGATAAGAGTTTCACAGAATTTTCAGCTCCAGCTGGCTTCGGCCCATGATCTCAGCCTCCTGAGTAGCTAGCATTCTGACTAAAAATAGAATTTTTATGGAGAAGATAATGAAAGACCAAAACAACATATATTTATTTTATTTGTAACAAATCTAGGCTGGTAGGCTAGAATTTTCCCCTCTTGTGCACTTTGAGGGGTTTTGTTGTAATTTTTCTTATCAGAATTGTGTGCTTTATGGCTCTGGAATACCCTTCTATGCTTCTTCCAAATACTGATTCTACAGCATCGCTAACTTAAAACTATGAGGACTTTTCCTTTAAGAGAGATGTAAAATGTAACTTTGACAATACTGCTTTGTTTGGTGGTAATATAGTCCCTAGTGCTAATTGATGACATGCTTATAATATGAGAAAAACAATGCTGTACCTGACATATATATGTATATATACATATTTGTGTATATACACACATGTATACACAGATATATTTATTTCTGAGCTATAGTAATTGTATTTATTAGTATTTTAACTTACATTACAAAAATGTATTTATTATAATGCATGGAACAGTGAGACACTCTATCACTCAATGGGAATTTTTGTATACATTTTCTTATACATTATTTCCTTTTGCAAATAGATTTCCTTTCTCCTGGAATACCTGTCCTCATTGTTCAGGCTTCTGCAGTCCTGTTTGTTGGTAGATACTAACCTTGTGACGCAGGACAAAATTCTGAAGCCACTAATCACTAATGTCATTGGAGTTTTCACCATAGTCATCAAAGATATATCAGGTAAGTTTTCTTTCTTTTGCCAGTACTGGGGCTTGAACTCAGGACCTTGAGCTACACAACTACTTCTGGATTTTTACTGTTTAATGGGAGATAAGAGTCTCCCATACTTTTCTGACTCAGCTGGTTTTGAACTGCGATCCTCAGATCTCAGCCTCTTGCATAGCTAGGGTTATAGGTGTGAGCTGCTGGTGCCCAACCAGTTTTATTGTTCTTTGTGTAGGGCAGAAGCAAATAATATTGGAGAGAGAGAAAGAAAATCTTTGCTCCAGATACTAACTTCAAGGTTACTTTTTGTGTTGTTTTTTTGGGGCAGTATTTTGAAAGCCTTTGATGGTGTGTTTTATAGTTTGGATGGTTTTAAATGGTTCCAGGAGATCACTTAAGGCAAGTATGCCATAATAAAGACTGTCCCTGTCTGTCAGTTGAAATAAGGGCAAAGCTTTCAATGTCTTATTATAAAGTACAGTGGATTTGAGGTGTTAATTATTCTTATAAACTGTGGCTAAGGCCAAGTAGTGTACCAATAAGTCATTTGCAATAACAATATAAGCTCGTCTGGCATATAATATCATATTTTACCTAAGGTCTTAAGTTATTGGAAAGTATTTTGTGAAGATAAGTTGAATGCAATGCTGAAGCTTCCCTTCTACTAAGGGGGAGAAAATGAAGTAGAATCTAGGCAGAGGGTAGCGCACAGAGCTAGAAGCACTTGCATTAGGCTCTGGCTCTTCTCCCTGGTGCTGAGAGGAAGAAGGGGAAAAGAAAAGAGATTGTTTATAATAAAATCATAGGTAGTGATAAAGTAACGGACCATTTGGTAATGACTCCTTCTGACTTCATTCTTACTTAGTCCTGTGAATTGTGTGGATTTGCTTGGTGTCACGTCTGGAAAGTGAAGTATATGGATGCCAGCAAGCCAGTCCTAGGCATCTCACCCATGTTGAAATTACCCCAGTACTTGAGGAGCAGTAATTGCACAGCTGGCAATTGTGCACGTGACTTTGACAGATTAGACTCTGCAAGCTTCACGGGGTGGTATCACCCCACTCCCCTCAAAAAGGAAAACAGCTCCTTGGGGGACAACACTGAGGCAAGCAAACAAGCAGGCACAAAGCATCTTAGCTGTCACAGTGGTCTGTGGGCCCCCAGAGCTCAGCTGGACCTGCTCAGACTTGTCACTTAGTGTTTAACTTCTCATTTGGGTTTTCCTGGTCCGTCGTGAGGCAGTGGCGTTGAACTGGTGGGATAGACACAGACATGCGCAACAGCCTGTGATGAGAGAGGGCCTGGGGGACTCTGGTCATTGCTGACCTGAGAGCCATGTGCAGGAGATGGCTTGAGCGCGCTTGCTGCTCTTGGTGGCCTTTAGATACAGTTTACTATTCCTCTTGCCTTTGTGACTTCTTTGACAAGTAACTAAAAGTAGTCTCTAATTTATTACTATGTTATTTAATATATCATTTACCTGCCATTTACTATATTAAGTAGTAAGAGGAAGAGCAGCAGGAATATCTGAATGTATACATAGCAGCTATCTATGTTAAAAGTTATTTTCTGCCAGGCGACAGTGGCTCATGCCTGTAATCCTAGCTACTCAGGAAGCTGGGATCTAAGGATTGTGGTTCGAAGCCAGTCCAGGCAGGAAAGTCCGTGAGACTCTAATCTCCAATTAACCACCAGAAAATTAGAATTGACGGTGTGGCTCAAGTGGTAGAGCACTTTCTTTGAGCTAAAGAGCTCAGGGAAGAAAAAGTTGTTTTATAATATCTAGCAAAAGTATTTTTCTAAATGTGTTTTTAGGGAATTAAGTTTTTTAATTATGTTTTTTGAGAAAACCGGTTTGAATAATATAATTAAAATTTGGTCTATTGTTACTATTTATATGAATTGCTAACTTATACATATAACTCAATGCATTATAATACATAAATAACGCAATATAATATATAATAACATTTTATAAAAGTTATTACACAAAGTAATAAATGCTAGTAGTTTTTTTTTGTTTTTCCCCCCAGTCCTGGGGCTTGAACTCTGGGCCTAGGTACTGTCCCTGAGCTCTTCAGCTCAAGCAAGTGCTCTACTACTTGAGCCACCGTGCCACTTCCAACTTTTGGGAGTAATTTGTTAGAGGTAAGAGTCTCACAGTTTCCTGCCTGGGCTGGCTTTGAACCTAGATCCTCATATCATAGCCTTCTGAGTAGGTAGGATTACAGGCGTGAGACACTGGCGTCCAGCAAATGTTAGTAGTTTTCATTTTAACTTGCTTATTTTGTTTTGTGCAAGTCCTGGGGCTGAACATATGGCCTAGGTGCTGTCTCTCAGATTTTTTTGCTTAAGGCTAGCACTCTACCACTTGAGCCATAGCTCCACTTGTGGCATTTTGGGTAAATTAGTGGAAATAAGAATCTCAGACTTTCCTGCCTGAGCTGAATTTGAACTGTGATCCTTAGATCTTAGCCTCTTTAGTAGCTAGGATTTTAGGTGTGAGCCACCAGTGCTTGACTGACTTTACTTTTTAATTTAAATTTAATTTGTTATTCTGTGTGTGTGTGTGTGTGTGTGTGTGTGTGTGTGTGTGTGTGTGTGTGTAGTGAAATGTTGTGGGAGCATTAGTGAGTAAAGCCTTAGAGAGGCAGTAGTGACAAAGTGATTGAAATACTAAGGATTGCTAAACCCCAGAGTCCAGAGAGCCCTCTCTCCATTGCCCCCTGGGTGCTGAAGGGCACCTTGCCGAAGGCCTCCGTTTGTTTTTAACCGTAGTTTGATGAATGCTGATAACTGCCTGCCGCCCTTGGCATTGTGGCAGGGAGCTCTGAGACAGCCACTCCTGCCGCTTACCTTCACCTGACTCAGACCTGGGAGCTTGCCCTTGCGGGTTCATGGCTGCATTGTCAGCCATAGGAAGGCTGTAAAATCCTCTTTTGAATCATAGTTTCTTGATTGTGTAAAAGAAATTTTTTTCTGCTTGACCTTGATATCTTCTGTTTTCCTTCTTACCTCTGCCCAAAGCTGGAGAATAAAGAGAACAGGAGAAAAGTGTCTAACAGAGCTAGCACAATGTCATATTGTTACAATGTGCCCAGTATGTACTTCTGCAGTTGTGGCTAATATTCTGTTTGCCCTACTTTCCAATGGTTGTTCAGTGTATTATAAGAAGATGAAGGTATGTGTGGGGCAGACTATGGAGGGGAGATATATCTATGAAATAATGGAGATGGGCATTGGTGGGTCACTCCTCTAGTCCTAGCGTCTCAGGAGTCAGATCCATAAGGCAGCCTGGGCAGAAAAGTCTGTTAGGCTCCATCTTGAAAATTACCACCCAGATCAGCTTCTGTGGCATGGCTCAAGTGGTAAAGCACCAGCCTAGCAAGTGTGAGGCTCTGAGTGCAAATCCTAGCATTGCCAAAAAAAAAAAGGCAGTAGAAAAGATAAGTTCATGGAAATGACTTTTAGGTAACTACCAGTTCTATTTGGTTTCATTTGATTAGTGCATATTTCTTACTATAAGTATAATAATGTGTCATGGTGAATGTGTTTTTTGAAAGACTCTTCTTTGTTGTTAGTAACTTAAAATCTCTGGATAAATTTTATAGATGCGGAGTTGGAGTCGGCGTTTTATCTCATGTGGACACATGTGTGTGGTCTTCTGACCACACTCCTGAGGAAAGCCGGGTCTGTCTCCCTCCCATCTGTCACTTCCGCTCTGGCCAAGCACTGGGAAGCAGTGACTGGTAAGGAGATGCCTTCCTACCACTAGAATTAAGGCAGTCTGTATTCCCAGTAGTTACATCAGTCCTCTGGAGTGCAGTGATGAAGGAGGGATGCAGAAAAGCGTGCCAGAGAGCTTAGTGTCAGGCATCTGCAGTGTTCTTGAGGCGCCCTGCCCCCTGCAAATTCATTTGTGCAAACTGAAACACATTGGAAGATGACATGAAAGAAAGAAAAGCCTATTGTCTTAGGAACATACCTATGGTAAGGTTATAAAGCAGTGAGGAAGATTTTCCTTTGGTGGTGTAGAGGGATAGTGTCCTCTTTCTAACATGTGTATTCTTTGTGAGGGAATCTGTACACAGAACCTATGTGTACAATGCCACGGGGATTCAAATACAATTCTTAACCCTTGCTCATGCTGTCAGAAGTGTCTGCTCCGCTGGAGGGTAACTATTTTTGTATTTTCCTTTTAATCTGTACTTCCTACTTAAAAAAAAAAGTGGTAATTTTAAGTAAGGAGTTTTTAATCTTTTAAGGAAAGCTCTTCATTTATCTGTTTTTATTTCTTTTTAAATTTGAGTAGCTGCGCAAAGGGGTTTCAGTTCGACAAGTGGGATTCTGAGTACAATGTTGCCCCTTCCATCGTTCTCCCACAGCTTTTCCCATCCCATTCATACTCTCAAACCATGAAGTTCCAGTTTTACACATAGATGGATAATGATTAGATTGGTAGGATTTGCACACCCTTCTGCTCTGTTCCTTTGTTCCCCTTCTCCTTGTTCCACTCCTGACAATACGTGTTTTGGCTTCCTGGTATTCTTTGTTAAACTGTTCCTTAGTTGTTCAGAGGAGTTACACTATTAGAATCCTCCCCAAAGTATGCCAGCCTTAGTCTGTATATTTGCATGTGACCTTGTAAATGTTTTCATATATTTATAACTTAGATCTAACTTCCATATATAAGAGAAAACGTGCATGCATCATTTGTCCTTCTGAACCATCAGATCATCTGTTTCCCTGCAAATGACATAATATTCCTTCTGTATTTTACTAATTGATCACATTTTCTTGATCCACTCATCATCTCAGGACATCTAGGCTGTTTCCATAACTTGGCTCTTGTGAATAGTGCAGCAATGAGCGTGGGTGTCCACGTGTGTTTATAATACCCTGGCTTGTAATCTTTTGCATGGATGCCCAGGGGTTGCTGTAGAATAGTTCTGTGTTTCGTTTTTGAGGAATCTCCAAACTGCCTTCCAGAGTGGTTGCACTAGTTTACATTCCCACCAGCACTGTAACAGGGATCTTTTTTCCCTTCATCCATCCAGCATCTGTTGTTGGCTCTTGCTTTTTGATTCTGGCTGCTGTTCTATGTCTTTTGATTGGAGAGTTGAGGAAATTGGCCTTTAAAGTTACTGTTGAGAAATATGATCTGTTTCCTGTCATTTTGATGTTTTTGTGGTGCTTGCTTCTTTCCTCTTCCTGTTTCACTAATCTCCTCTAGTGGTGTTTATTTGTTCCTATATTTCTTTGGTTTTTATTTATTGCCTTCTTCTGAGGCTTGGATTCCCTTAAGTGCCCTTTGTAGTACTGGTTTAGTGGTCATGAATTCCTCTTGATTTTGTTTAGTATGGAAGGTTTTTATTTCTCTGTCAATTGTGAATTATAGCTTTCTTGGACACACTAGTCCAGGCCGACTGTTGCCCTTCATAGACTGAATTACATCTTTTCAGGCCATCCTTGCATTCTCTGTTCTCTGTTTAGAGTTTTGTATGCCTATGTAGATTTGATCTTTTTTTTTTGGTCAGTCATGGGGCTTGAATTCTGGGCTTGGGCACTGTCCCTCAGCTCTTCAGCTCAAAGCTAGCACTCTACCACTTGAGCCACAGCTCCACTTCTGGTTTTCCGGTGGTTAATTGGAGATAAGAGTCTCACAGATTCTACAGTCATCTGCAGAACCTGGAAAAGCTGTTGCTGCTATTGATGCATAACATACTGCTTATTATTGGCCTTTTTATATAAATATAAATATATATACACATATATATAATTTGAATTTTTGGAAACTTTAGCTGTGCTGTCAACTTTGGAAAAAGTATCCCAGTTTACCGTGTTGAGTTGGCATCGTACAGAAATGAATAGCCATATTGGTCTAGAAATGTTAAACTTAATTTTTTTTCTATTTGTACAGGTGTAAATGCACTGTATTAAATATGTAAGGTCTTATCTACATGGGTTTGATTACAGAAACTAAAGTATTCTCTAAATAATGAAAAAACAAAAAGAGTCTCACAGACTCTTCTGCCTGGGCTGGCTTTGAACCTCTATTCTCAGATCTCAGCCTCCTGAGTAGCTAGCTAGGATTCCAGGCATGAGCCACCAGTGCCCAGCTAGATTTGATCTTTTGGTGGAGGCTGAGAGGTCTTGCCTGTCACCTAGGTATATGATGAGTGCTTTTTTTCGATGATTTATCTTCTGCATTGTCTTCTTCAGTTAATTTAGCTGTTTGTATCTTCTTGTTGTTGATTCAACTTTTCTTACTTTTCATCCAGCTTTTTCAACATCTGTTCTTACTTTGTGGATGATTTCTCTCAGCATTACTTTTAGTGAGTCTATTGTCTTTCTTTCTTTTCACTCTCACTTGACTCTTTCATTGTGGCAAATTTGATTTTGGGGGTGACATGTTGTATTGTTTATTCATGAATTTTGTGATCTTTCACTGAGATTGAAATCTCTTCATTTATGTAAAGAAGACTTTGAAGACATTTTTAGAGCAAAAATTTATGGTGTGTGTGTGTGTGTGTGAAAATTTATGGTGTGTGTGTGTGTGTGTGTGTGTGTGTGTGTGTGTACTGGGCCTTAAACTCAGGGCCTGGATACCATCTCTTAGCTTTTTCACCCAAGGCTGGCACTTACTCTACCAGTTGAGCCAAAGCTAGTAGTTAATTGGAGATAAGTTTCAAGGCCTTTTTTGTCTGAACTTTTTTTTTTTTTACGGTTTACTGGACTGTATTTATTTATTTATTATTGTGAGAATACCATACAGAGGAGTTACAATTACATGGGCAAAATAACGAGTACATTTCTTATCAAGCATTGTTGCCTCCTCCCTGTTTCCCTTTCCCATCCCTTCCCATACTCCTCCCCTCCCTCGACCCGATACTCCCCCACCCCCCACCAAAGTTGTTAAGTTTGTTTTTCGACTTAAGGACTTGTACATCTCATTGTTGCAATGGGTCCACCTGTATCTCTAGTTAAACGATTTGTTTTTTTCCCTTCCCCTCCACAAATTATACCAACATCAAAAACAGTGGAAGTATGTCTGAGCTAACTTTGAACTGTATTCCTCAGATCTCAGCCTCCTGAGTATCTAGAATTAAGGTATGAGCTGCTGGCACCTGGCTGTGTTATCTTTTAAATAGCCTATTTAGGTATATTCAAAATCGAGTTCTGAGCTTCCAAGTCATCTAGTAATTCAATTGACTCTTTTTAATAGTTCTTTTATCATTGATCATTTTGTAAACTTAAGTATATAATACAGATTGGTAGGTTTGAAGCGATGTTTTTGGGGAAATACACGCTCAGCCAGAAGCAATTTTGTAACATAGCAGTTTGGAATTTATCCTAAGAGGTAAAATATCCATGCTATAGATTATTTTATTAAACGAGATGGAAATTAGAAGCAGTTGCCTGATTGAAAGATGGAGATGTTTCTTTTGTACCCATCAGGGAAAATCAGTTTACCAACTGAATCACCAACTTAAAGCAAAATGCTTCTCTTGTTAGAGACGAAGGCCTGATGGTCAGAGGTGTCCTGCTACCATTTTGCTAAGCCTTGCTGGAACACAGCCACACTCAGTCACCCACATATTTTCTTCAGTAAATGGCTGCTTTCCTGCTGTAAAGGTTAAGGTGCATAATCACAACAAAATCCTGTGAAAGGCAAAGCATTCAGGGCTTCCTGTTCTACCTTTCCCAGAAGAAAAGTTGTTGACTTCTGACCTAAGCCTGTGTATTTGACAGTATTTCCCTAGGGATAATATGTAAATATACTAAGTTCAGTATCTTCCTAGAAAATATACACACAGTATTATAGACTAACATTACTAATCAAAAATAACTTACTCCATAAATAGGTTTGATATTAATGAAAACAACGCAAATGTTGATATTCCTTGTTTCGGTAGGGTTTTCTCCTTTGTTGTTTTAAACAATCAGTTTTCCTCCTATGCATCCATATTATTTTTATATTAAATATAAATATTTATATTTATACATCTGTGGTTATTATAACTTCTGTTATCTGTAGTAGACTTTTCTCAAACTTGACTAATAGTTGGAGATTATTTAAATTAATATAATTTTCTCAAACCTCTGCTGCTAAGCAAAGTTTTATTTAAGTTTGTATAAACATAAATGTAAGTAAAAATTATGAAATGTTACAATTTTTACACAAGCAATGAAATGAACTTGTTAAGTCCCTTACTTTTCAAATTAATAAAGAGTATTGCTCTTTCTACTCCCCTTTCCTCCCATCACGTATGAGGGATTGAACTCAGGGCTTCATGCTTGCACTCATGAACCACATACTCTCCCCTACCCCAGTTCTTCTACTTTAAGTTTGTCAGATAAGGTTTCCCCATGTTAGCCTCAAACCATGATCCTCATTTTTTTTTTTTGCCTCTTCAGTAGCTGTAATTATAGGTATGGCTTACTCTGCCTGGCCCCAAAGCTGTTATTTAGATTAAACTTAATGTGTACTTACCAAAAGAAACTAGAAATGACTTTTTTTCCCCTTGATTTTGTTGCCTTGCCTATTCTTTCTCATGTATAGTATTACAGCTTAATTTACAAATCAGTTCACAACCACTTCTGTTCTTCATGATGTTCTATGAAACCTTTCCACATCATTCCACACTGAATATTGTCTTACTTTTTAATACCTTTTTATTTGCTTTGCAGTGCTGGAGGTCTTGTATGCACTAAGTGCTCTAACATAGTACTTTATGCACAGCCCTTGGTCTAGGCTGGCCTTTAACTTCAGTTTTCTGCCTTAGGACTTCTTAATTTTAAACATAGTATAGTTTTTCTTATTATACTTGAGCTTTTGATAGCTTTTCATCTGTGGAAATAAGAAAGCTATGAACTTGATTATTCAGTCAATCTGATTCATTTCATCTTTTAATTTTAAACAGGTTTTCTCCCATTTACCTCTGAACTCCCTTTCCTTTTCAGATATGTTCTGCAGATGTGTGGGCTTGTCCATCAGGTGCCCTGCCCTGTGTTCTGCCAGCCTGCAGCTCCTGTCTGTTCTCTTGATGGAGGAAGAAAAACAGCGTGTGCAGAGTAAGGGCAGAGCAAGTGTATATCCTGCTCTGACGGTGGCTTCCCTGCTGGATGAAGGGCAGGAGCACCAGAAATCTGCAGAAAGACTCAATGAGGTCATTCTTCAGGTATGTGATTTTTTGGTGTTTTCAATGAAGACCCAAACTCAGCCTTGGGTTGTTAAAGTTATTCAATCATAGTAATGTTCGTTATGACTGCTTGAGGAAAAAAAAGTCCAGGTACATTAACAATTTAAAAATAAGACTAAAAGCATTACATATGTTTTTAAAAAAACTGCAAATATTACTAGTTTGTTTTTTTTAAAGCAATATGAATCTTTTGGTCAGGTGTTGGTAGCTCATCCTTCTAATCCTAACTACTCACAAGGCTAAGATCCATTGGTTCCAGGTTCAAAGCCTGCCTGGACAGAAAAGTCCATAAGACTCCATCTCCAAAATAACCAGAAGCAACAACAAAACCATTCTGGGAAAATGGTTCAGCTTACAGAGCTAAGCAAAACAACAAAGTGTGAGGCTCTAACTTTGAATCTCAGTACTACAGAAGAAAAAAAAGAAATTCTCCTGCTTACTAATGATAGAGTTTCATGACTTTTGTCTTCTTCACTGGAAAGTAAAGCCATAGCAGTATTTTGCCTGAGTATTCGTGTCAGCGTCTCGGGAAGCTGGCTGCATTTTACAGAGCTCTTCCATCTGCTGATGCTACTCCTTGGTCACTTAGAATTCGCAGATGACTCACTTCTTTGTGGTCGGTAGGGGTGGTGGCCGTGAAGATGTTTCTGGCGTAACTGTGTGTGCATTTTGAGCTCCGGGTTGATTGTGTCTAAAGGCTGTAGAAAGCCCGCAAGGACACTCAGTCTGAAAGCTGTATATGAAGGGTGTCAACAGGGCTCTTTGAGGATATTTCTTCTCCTGCCCCGTATAGAAGTCAGCTGCCTTTCTGTTGTTGATAAGAAGACTGATAAGATTCTCTAGCATTTTCTCCTTGGCCTCCAGCATCTGTCTTTAGGGGAAAGGGTTCTTAGCGCATTCCTCTAAACCCCTTATTCTCAGAGATGGCTACTACTACCCCATTCACTCAACTTTCCATTGTCAGAAGGTTGTCCCCTGGTATCTTTCACTAGGAGAACAATGACACTTCATTCCTCCAGTGCTCAGAGCTGGATTTTGCATTTTAAAGAACATAATGGGCCTGGGCATGGTGGCATATAACTGTAATGCCAGCTGCATGGCAGATAGAGATTGAGAGGACAGTGCTTTAAGGCTGGGGAGACCCTATCTCAACAGACAGTGGGGCATGATATTTTATGTTAAGTATCCTTTAGAAAGCGAACAAAACAAAACCCTTGTTGAGGAAACCCTTAGATCATTTCATATAGGTAAGGAGTTAATTCATAAACAAAGTTTAAACTAATTCCTTTGGCTCATATTTTCTTTCCACCTATTTTATTGTTTTCTTTTAATATCTAAATAATATGCTTACATTCTTTTATCCTGCAATTCAGTTTTAGACATTATCTATTGAATTTCTTCAGTGGAAAATGAGACTTAAGCTCTCTCATGCCCTATGTAGCTCCTATGTAAATGGGTTTCTATTTGTCCCAACAATGAGTAAAGAATAGACAGCTTGTACAGTGTTAAAACCTGTGAAAACATTGCATACATTTGAGACAGGCGCTTTTCCTGCACAGCTTTTGTTTGCCTAGAGCTAATTATTGTTTGTCTTTTAATTTCTGAGACTTCTATTATCTCTACAAGTGTCCTATTATTTGCCAGCAGTCAAATGTCCTTGTAATGTGTTCAGAACCATCAAAACATTCATTTCCTGGAAGAAATTCCTCCCATTTCCCTTCTGAGGACAGCCTGGTGCTGTCCTGGATTCTCTGCTTACCTGGTTCCTAGAGACACTTTTCATCTCTCTGCTCCATGTAGTCTTCTGTGTACTCCCCTGTGTGCTTCACTCCGGGCCAATGACTTCCATTTGGTGTAGAGTCTGTTCTGTAGCTGTCAAGAAAAAGGTACATAGAGGTGTTTCTAATAACTGTATGACGGAAAGTCTTTATTCTACCTGAGCTTTTTTTCCGCTCAAGGCTAGTACACTACCACTTTGAGCCACAGCTCCACTTCCAGTTTTCTGGTTGTTAATTGGACATATAGGGGTCTGGTCTGGCTTTGAACCATGAGCCTCAGATCTCAGCCTTTTGAATAGCTAGGATTATAGGCATGAACTATCAGTACCCAGCTACCTGTATAAATTCTAATTTATAGCTTGGCTAGTAATAATTTGAATTGGACATAATTTACTTCAAAACTTAGAAGACCTTGTCTGTTCCGTTTAACTCCCATTGATACTGTGGAAAATCAGGAGGCCATTGTGATTCCTGTTTCTCTCTCCACAGACGTTTTAGAGTCCTTCCTTTCTAACATTCTTTAATTTTCTGATGAAGTGTATAGGTGTGGGTCTGTGTATCCATTGTCTTGGGCTCTCTAGTGGGTACTTTCCATGTATAACTCATTTTGCTAAAGTTCCTTCATTGACTTTACTTCTGCTTCATGTGCTCTGTGTGTTGAAACTCCCTAGGAAGTTAGCTCCTCTATGCATAATCTCTCTTTGCTTTGCAGTCTTTTTCTCTACTTGGTCTCTATTTTCAGGTTACGGACTTTGCAGAAATATCTGATTGTCTTAATTACCTCTCTTATTTAAGACTGGGAGACTTCACCCATATCTGTAGCCCTGAGTCTGTGAGAGGTGCTTGTCAGCTAGTGCTGTGCAAGACATGTAGGTGTTGTTTGTGGTGGTGGGGCTGCCTTCAGAATCTTGTCAGATTCCCTAGAGAAAAGCCTCTGGTCACTTGTCTGCCAAGGGATTTGTGGCAAAGGAGGTCAAAAGAGCAGAGATCTTAGAGTTTCATTTGCACTTTTTTTTTTTGTCTTTTCTTTTTTGGTACTGGGGATCGAACCCAGGATGTTGCACTTGCTAAGCAAGCGCTTTGCCACTGAGCTACATCCCAGGCCCATTTGCACATTTTTACTTAATCTTCCTGACCTGGGCAGAGTCCTCCATATCCACAAGTGTACCTGCCCTCTGCCCAGCTCAGAATGCTTCTGATTCATGTACTCCAGGGACAAGAGCCGTGATAGCTGAAGAACTGGGGTGGAAGAGGGCTTGACGGTGCACGTATTGGTTGGCAGTGGGTGCAGTCTGGGAGTCTTCAGCTATTTCTTGGAGATTTTTTCAATAACACTCCTTCAACCTCACCTCCATGCATGGTCTGTCTGAATGCCCTCAGCCCCAGCCATCCAGTGCATTGCTGGGGTACGCCTCACGAGTTGTGGGGAATTCAGACCCACGTGTTTGCCATTCACCCAGCAGCTTTGATGCTTTACTCTTTCATCATGTGTATGTAAGTGTGGAATCCATTTTTGTCATCTTAGTGGATCTTACCAAGAGGTGATCAAAGATGTCCATCACAAATCTGTTCCATTAGGAATCTCACCTAATTCCCTCCTGATTGGTCGTAGGTGATTAGTACATTTCAGTGGAACACTTTGGTATTCTTTACCTTATTAACATTCTGGTTCAATACAGCACAGAAGTTTTTCTATTAAGGCTTTTATAGAAAAAATAGTAATACAATTCATAAGAATACATATAATTCAGGCTGGGAAGGTGGTTCAGTGATAGAGTACTTGCCTTGCATGCATGAGGCCCTGGTTTCGATTCCTCAGCACCACATAAGCAGAAAAAGTGGGAAGTGGCTCAAGTGGTAGAGCACTAACCTTGAACTGAAGAGGCTGAGGGACAGTGCTCAGGCCCAGAATTCAGGCCTCACGACCAACAAATAAATTAATTAATTAAAATGAAAATGAGAGCTGGAACAAAGTAAATCAGCAAGAAACTGGGTATGTTCAATTGAAAGAAAGGAAGGGAAGTTTGTCCCCAAGAAAAAGGAAGAACTTTTTTTTTTCCAGAGATGACTCATTCTTGATAGTGATTATTGGCTTTTCTATATTATAAAGTTTTTATGCAGTTTGCCTACACAGAACATTCTGACATTAGTGGTTTATCAAATTCCAATGAATTTCGCATGAAAGTTGAAACCTACCAGTACATTTTAGGCAGAACTCGAGTTTTATTCACAGGAGTTGAGCTCCAGATTTAATTTTTCTCCAAGGCAATTTGGTCTGTATTCTCTGCAGTGCTATGAAGGAAAATCCTCCAAAGATCCCCTGAAAAGACCTGCAACAAATGCCCTGCTGTCACTCCTGGCTGCCAGCAGAAGAGCTCAGAGGCATGCCCTGAAAGGTGACCCACATGACATACCCACTGTTCCATGGCATACACCAGTTCATGTTTTGGTCCTTGTTCATTGTAATGTTTATTTGTTCAAAGTGTATAGACCTGGAAGTGGTGCTGTGGCTTAAGCAGTAGAGCGCTAGCCTTGAGCTTAAGGGCACAGAGACAGCGCCCAAGCCCAGAGTTCAAGCCCCATGACCTACCAAAAAAAAATAATAATGTATAGACCTTGTAATCTTAGTTTCACTTAAAAATACAGTGCTTTTGCACAAATTGCAGTGAACATTAATTTATAAACAGCTCAGTGGAAGGCCTCTTTGCTTATTATGCACAAGACCCTCACTTCAATACCTAGCAACACAAAAAATAAATAAATGAATAGATGAAATTAAAAGATTATACATATCATTTATTTTTTATTTAACATGTCATAATTATTCCTGTAGACAATCTATAGCTAAATATTATAAAAGATAAAGAAATAAAGGAGTCACATTACTCAGTTTTGTAATGATTAAATGTTAGTATCCACAAACATTTTGCGCATCAGTAAAGATAGTATCAGATGATCCTATGTTTTCATGTAATTTCCCCTGTAAAATGTTGTCATTCCTCACCTGGACATATAAGAAAATAATAGCAACATAAAGTCTATTCAGCTTGATTAAGATTTGCTCAAAAACACATTATGCAAGTCCTAAGCTGTAAGTTATTGGGAATATTTTATTGGGAATTGAAAATTAGTGGGCTTCAATATTTTAATTTCCTCTCTCATCTGTAATCTTTCACTGATAATACTAAATTTTGTTGGAAATGTAAATAATTTTCAGACTTTCATTATATGTGATTTTAACTTATTTGGAAGTGAGAAACCCTTTGACTATTGCAGATTTTGCCTTTTAGCTGATCTCATAGACAGCTGCATGGAGCAGATGAAGCACATTAATGCTCAACTGAGCCTAGATTCTCTGAGGCCTGGGAAAGCCGTACTGAAGAAAAAGGTAATTCCACAGTGTGACATTCTGGGTGAAGGAATGCATGCACACCATGGCCAGGTCTCCAGTGTCCCCCCGCCCTGTAATTAGCACAAGGTTGAAATCATGACCCAGCAGTTAGAAAAAAGGTACAGTCAGATGAAGTAATGAGATTTTTATAATGTAGCCTTTTGGCTACACTATAAAAGATAAGTGAAATGTATGTATTGTGTATTTTTGTTCCCATATACATATGGTCATGTCTACATGCACATGATACTGTGTACAGGTACATAATACTGTGTCAGGTAAGATTTTATACAACAATAAGAAACTCAAACTCTAGGCAATGAAATCAACTGCGATTGTGTGTTATATATCAGACAGTATTTCATATTTTTATTTTTTCTCATACACAAGCACTTGTAACAACATAATCATACAGCTGGCAATTGATAAGGGCACCAACTGTCAGGGAAATTGGGGTAATGTTATTCTTAACTTCTGTTTATCTTCATCTAGGGTTGATGAACTTGTAGTACTAAGTTGCTGGACAACTGTTTCAACTTCAAGTTCACAGAAACACAAAATAACATATTTAGTAGTTATGGCTAGTAATATGATCGATAACGTGTGCCCCACAGACTATTCAGAAAATGAATGTATATGTATATGAATATATAAACGTACAGATACATATGTGGGTAGGGCCACTGTAGAAACTCTGTAGGTAATACCAGTAATTATTATTTTTATTATCATTATTATTATTTAATAATTGGTACACTAGATTGATGCCTGCTTGTCAGTTTCTCCCATGCCTCTTCTTTTATCCTTTCTAACCAAAAGCCCTTAACTTCATCATTGAGAAAGTCAGCCAGTACCTGGTATGATTGAAAACCAGCAGCTGCCTCACTGGGCTGAAATGAAACATGGAGGCGGTTATATGTCTGAGTTCCCCCATGCTTGATGGATCAGAAATAGGACTGTTTTTTTTGTGGTGGATGTGTTTCTGTATATAGTCATCTTTCAGAGATCATTGACTTGTCAGTGCCCTTGAAGTTACCATGGCCAGGCATGAGCAGAGCACAGCCGCATTTACTGTGACCTGGGAGGGGAGAGCATTGCCGTACTTGAATGTGGAGGAGGCCTCTGTGTTCACATCAGTCAGCTGCCTTGTGTTTAAACAGGAGGACGGTTTCACCAAAGAGCTCGGCACTACCATGCAGCTTCTAAGAAACTGCCTGTATCAAAATGAAGAATGTAAAGTAAGTGAAGTTTTCCCTTGATATTTTGATAGCACTGTTGGTATTAAGCAGTTTCATTTTTATATTAGGCAACATAAGACAAATGAAAAAGGGAAATTCTTTGACTTTTAAATGGTGCACAGTTGATTAATCCTTACACTCAATTAACTCTCAAAAAATTGTTGTACCTAATCTCATTGTTATTCATCCTTGTTAATACACGTTTTGTTTATGTCAGTGTTTTAACTTTCTCATTGAAATGTAACTTCACAGGCCTTAGCTCATTCTGTACCGTTACTCATTTTAGATGATGTTATTTTTTTATTTTTATTTTTTGGTGGCACTCAGTGTTTTAAATCAATGCCTCATACTTATGAGTCAGACATGCTCAGAGTCATGTCCAGCCCTGTTTTTGACTGGTGATTTTAAGGTGGAATTCTGCTTCCTGCCTGGATGTCCACTTGGAGGGCGATCCACCAATTTCAGGCTTTCCATTGTTGCTATGATGGCCGGCACTTCACTGTATCCAGCTTTCCTCCACTGAAAGGAAGTCTAATGGCCTCTTCTGTCTAGGCCAGCCTCCCATATTGAGCTTCTGGAATAGTTTGGGCTATAAGGGTGAGCCAGCACCCCCCTTTAAGTGTTTCTTTACTAGGACGGAATGATGGTCGTGAAGGTCTTATACGAGAGATGTTTAAAAGGTGGTTGTCAGACCACTTATTCTAAAGAGAATGAGGAGGGAGGATCTGCAGCTCTAAGAGAGAAGATGTGTTTTCCTGCTTCAAGTAGAAAATTCTTCCTGCTGTGCTTAGATATGCTAGATTCACCTAGAATAGGAAGTTGCTTACATTCAGTTCTGCTGACCTCATGAGGATTAGACCAGTCCCTGTGACTGTCCACTGATAGGTCTTCCTTAGTTTCCCATTTCTGATGATTTGTCTGTAAGCATTGGTGCTCGCACTTTAAGTTGCTTCATCTATAGTGATGCCACACTCTTGAAGCACTAAATTTAGGCTTAGTGTAGAAACTTTTGTGCTATTACTTGTGTCTGTGAGGTAAATGCATTTAACAGTGGCCAATGCTGGGCAGGGAACTGTGATAGTCCAGGAAAAACATGAGCAGACCTTAATGTGGGGAGAGAGAAAGGTGAAGAGAGAGAGTGGGAGTAAATTTGAAGAACTGAGGAGAAATAAGAAAATTCTAGAATAACTTTAGATAGCTTAAGTGCTTGCCAATGCAGCAGTGTGTGGTTGACAGTATGTGTGTGAGAACAGATGCGTAGTTCTGCATGTGCTAGTGTCAGAACTCAGAATGGAGCACAGAAGGCTTGTAGTCGGTAGACTGTATGGGTCTGTCTGTAGCTCTTAGGTGCTATGACAGGCAGGAATAGTAGGAGTGTGTGCATATTCTTTACAACCATGATGTGTAAGCCCAGATCCTATGTTTGGAGAATATGAACATTAAGAGAAAGCAAGAAGAGTGTATTGGAATAGGAATTTGGAGACCATTCAGGAAGCACTGAAGACAATAAACTTGTTGAAAATGACATAGTGCCAACATTGCTGAAGACAAAGGTGGGAGTGTTCAGAATGTTCATAGCAGAAGTCCATTGAATGAACTGAGGGTGAATGTTGAAGTGGGGAAATGGCAGCCGTCACTCTCCTCCCCACAGGCTGATTGGCACAGGGAATTAGTATGCTTGGGTCTCCTGACATGTAGTCTCCTGAAACACATTCAGGGAGGTGAGCAAACTTGGGACTGGCTATTAAAGGAATAACTAGTGGAAGAATGAGGTCCCTGGGGAGGCAGGAGACCATGGACATGTCACTCTCTGCCCACAAGAGGAACACCTGTTCCTTACTGCCCAGCAGACAGGGCTTAACAGAGGAAAACACAGACCAGCATGTCAGCAGAGTGGCTGGGTAGACAAAAGATCCTGTGCCTAATCATGTCTGTGGGACAGTAAGCAAGGCACCTGGGTGCCACACTTACAGAGTGGACATGGAGAGGAATGTTGGGTGTGACTTCAAACCTATGGAGAGCGTTGAGCATAGGAATTGCCTCTCACCTCTCTGTGATGCTGCATGCTGAACACTGTCTAAGTGTGTGTGTGTGTGTAGAAATACCTCATCACTTCTGTCCTAAAAAGACACTGCTGCACTTACTGCAGGAAGCTGTCCTTCACAGTATGTCCCAGTGGCAGTAATACTGGCGGCGTGGCTCAAGATCACCTGCCGAGTAAGAGCCTAGTGCAAGCCACAGCACTGCCAAATAAAGTAACAAGACAAAACTAAGATTCATCTAACATACATTTAGGATAAATTTTCCTATATGCAGAAATAGTAACTTCGGGTATATGGGCACACAATCTAAAGGGCAAGAAATCCGAGAGTTAATCAGAATGTTTACTTAACCAGAAATTCTCATTTAAAAAATGTCTTGACCATAGCAGAGACTTTATAAGAGTATTTATTATTGGGAGACCTCATTTGTCTACTGAAACAGGCTTAGTGACACATGCTTGTAATCCTAGCTAGATGGGAAATGGAAATTGGAGGATCATGCTTTAAGGCCAGCCTAGGCAAATGAAACTCTAATCACTGCTATGAGCCTGGTATAATCACCTATAGTCCTACCTGTGAGCAAGTTGGAGGTAGGAGTCTCATCCATGTCTAGCTCTGGGCAAAAAGGACAAGAATCCCTACCTGAAAAATAAATTAAAGCCAAGAAGGCTGGGGGTGTGGCTCATGTAGTGAAGAGCCTGCCTGGGGGTGTGGCTCATGTAGTGAAGAGCCTGCCTGGGGGTGTGGCTCATGTGGTGAAGAGCCTGCCTGGGGGTGTGGCTCATGTGGTGAAGAGCCTGCCTGGCAGGTGCACTGCCCTGAGTTCACACACTCGTTCCACCAAGACACGCACATCCACCATTGGTCTGCATTAGTTGCACGGTCGGTAGCGTGCTAGGTCTCCAACGGGCAGATCCTCGCTGCCCGCGGAGGAGAGGGCTCAGCCTCGGGGCAGGCACGCACCGAGCCTGGGGCCTGGGCGTCCTGATGGCCCCTTGTATTAAGCAAAGGTAAATTCAGGTTTGTGGTTGGGAATGAATGCACCTTGATATCAAGTGGTCAGAGTGGTGATCGTCCTCTGTCCTCCACAACAGGAAGCAGCTCTCGGCGCTCATCTTGTCCCTGTTGTGCACTCTCTCTGGCCTTGGCTTTTGATGGACGATTCACTGATGCAAATTGCCTTGCAGCTTCTTTGTGTCTACACCGCAAATTTTCCCAATGGTAAGTCAGATCCATATCGACTTTCAGGAATAAGCTAGTTTCATATAATGTTGTTACAGAGAACTGAAAAGGCTTGTTTGTTTGAAAGTGTTTCTTCTACTTATTGCAGATAATGCTAAACAAAGCCAGTTTCTTGTAGGTAGTGTCAGAGGAGACAGGTGTTTTAACACATGTTTATTGACACGGGAAGATACTAGACAGTTCAGGGGAAATAGACGGACCTCATTATATGGCAGTGGTAACCAGAATTTATAGGAAAATTGAGGGGCTGAAAATTATAAAGTAAAAGCAGGGTAAGGTTAAACTTCCTTAGATTCTAAAAGAGATGAGCATGATGAAAATGAGTCCCAAGTGTGATTGCTCTTGTGATAGACAGGATCGTTCCCTGGCTGCTCACTGGCTGAATGCACATTTGCTGCGGACCTGTCATGGGTGGGCAAGCGACAGGAGGGCGCGTTGTGTGGGGCCTCGGAGACCAGAGAAAGCGTGGATTGCAGCTGGGAAACAACAGGAGGGCGCATCGTGTGGGGCCTCTGTGTGGGGCCTCCGAGACCAGAGCAAGCCTGGATTGCAGCTGGGAAGTAGATGAGCTGAACGATCATGTTGGAGAGAAGTGGAGAAGGGATGGCTGGGGGCAGCCCACAGCCCTAGCAGCATGGGCTCTGAGCAGTGAAGGATGTGCAGAGAAGGACTGCAGCTCAAGGCAGTTATTTGTCCATCTGGGCAGCACCATGCATGGACAGAAACTCAGGCTGGCTCTGCTTTGCCAGCCTATTGTCGTCTCCAGCCAGCATGAACAGATGTAGACAGACCTTTATACCCTTGACTGTTGAGCTGTTGTAGTGTATCTGATGCCAGGCCCAGATTGTCCCTGTCGTCTTTCGGCTGCTGTTAGCGTTTTTGTCTCTTTCTGCTGCTTGGACCATCTCCTGTTTGTGTCTTCAGGGTAGCCTGTCCTAGAGCATGACCAGATTCCATTTGAATCTGGGAAATTTGTATCCATCTTTACCAACTTACCTTTCACTTTTTTTTTTCCTTGGGTCCGGTCTGGGCCTGGGCGCTGTTCCTCAGCTCTTCAGCTCAAGGCTAGCACTCTACCACTTGAGCCACAGCGCCACTTCCAGCTTTTTTCTTTTTGCTTATGTGGTGCTGAGGAATCGAACCCAGGGCCTCAGGCATGTAAGGCAAGCGCTCTACCACTGAGCCACCTTCCCAGCCCCTCACTTTTTTTTTTAATACCCATACTGGGACTTGAACTCAGAACTATGAAATCTCACTAGGCTTTTTTTCCCCCTATACTTTGTGGTGCAGAGGATTGAACTCAGGGCCTTATACATGCTAAGCAAGCACTCTTTCACAGAGCAAACTCCCCAGTATCTCTCTGGGCTTTCTTGCTTGTGGCTGGTAATCTGTTCTTTGAACTACACCACCAGTTTCAGATTTTTTAATTTTTAATTTTTTTTTTGCTGTCTAATTAGAAATAAGGGTTTATGGGATTTGTCTGCTAGAGCTGGCTTTGAACCTTGATCCTTAGATCTCAGCCTTCTGAGTAGCTAGGGTTACTGGCATGAGCCACCAATGCCCAGATACCCTCTTCTGTAGGGTTTAACAAAGTAAGGAGAGATAAAGATGTTGCTAAATATTAATCAAAAGAAATATATACTTTTGGCGCTGGGAAGGTGGCTCAGTGGTGGAGCACTTGCCTTGCATGCATGAGGCCCTGGGTTCGATTCCTCAGCACCACATAAGCAAAAAAAAAAAAGCCGGAAGTGGCGCTGTGGCTCACGCGGTAGAGCACTAGCCTTGAGCTGAAGAGCTGAGGGACAGCACCCAGGCCCAGAGTTCAGGCCCACGATCAGACCCTTCCCTCCCCCCCAAAAAAAGAAATATATACTTTAATACAAAAGTACACTTTGTGTTATTTTTCAGTAGAAGTTATTAAGTTACTCCTAATGTCTGATTTTTTTTCTAAATAGAACTGCATCTTCTAATGACAAATTTGTGTATCAGGTCATGGAAACATTGGTATTTGAATAAAGCTGTAAACATAGGAAAGATCGCCATATTTTTGTGTTTATTCATCTCATATTATTTAGGAGAATATATTTGTTTTTGCTGTGATTATCTTTAAGCTGGTCTCCAGTGTGAACTCTCACAAGTTAATTCTCTTTGAGGGTTTTTTTTTCCCCCCAAGTCCTGGGGCTTGAACTCAGAGCCTGGGCACTGTCCCTGAGCTTCTTTAGCACAAGGCTAGCACTCTACTATTTGAGCCACAGCACCATTTCCGTGTTTTTGTTTTGTTTTCTGTTTATGTGGTACTGAGGAGTCGAACCCAGGACTTCATGCATGCTAGGCAAGCACTCTACCACTAGCCCACATTCCCAGCCCCTCTTTGTGTATTATGTTACTACACCGTTATATTGCCTGAACACTGAAATGTATTCCCAATTTTTTTTATGATTCTTCTCCCTCAGTAAATTTCCTATGCTTATTAATTTGCTGAGAAAACACTGACCCCTTACTCCTCTTACGTTCTTCTCTTCCGAGTTGTACAAGGGTTTCATGTAACGTGTCTGTTTATCATGGAATGTGCCGTCCATCATGTGCCCTTTACCCCACCTGTTCCAAACCCACCTGTCTTGCACTTCCTGCTTCCACACATGCACACTGAATGTCAGAATTAGATTTATCCAGCATGCCTCTTTCCATTCACCCCCTCCCTTCACCTGTCAGTCAAAACACTGGACACTTGAAGAGCCAGGAGCCACCACTGATCGCTCTGACTCCCGGGAGCTGGGGAGCCACCTCCCACTGGACTCGAGCTCTCCCCCCCCCACCCCCCGCCTCCTGTGGGAATAGTATTTGAGTTGACCTTACTTCATTTGTCTCTCATAAAATGAAAGCAACAGACCAAGTTAATTCCCATTTCTAAAATTCTGTTCTTCCACACAGCCTTCTATTTAGCTGCTTTTAAGACTCTATTAAACAAAATCCCACATTTATTTCATTCTTAAAAAAATAAACTTTTAAGTGCTCTGTTGAATTAAACCTTCAGTGTGGACTGGGAATCCATTAGGATGAAAGCACACATCAGCCCTAGGTAGCCTGAGGAGGTAATTTGCAGCTCACAGGTCAATGGCCATGTCATTTTGATGGACAGATGTGCCTCACTTGGCGTTCTTAAGAAGCTGAGCCTGGGAACTGGGGAAACATTGTGACGGCTGTTGTTTTTGAAGGTTGCAGTTCTCTTTGTTGGTCAAGTTACGGGCAGTTTGTCCAAGCTGCACACAGAGGAGCCAGCAGCAGCCTGATGCTGTGTGTCCTGAAGTTGGCCTCGCAGGTTCCTCTGGAGAGCACAAACATCCAGCAGATGGTCTTCATGTTTCTTTCAAACCTGGCTTTGTCTCACGACTGTAAGGGAGTAATTCAGAAGGTAAGTACTCAAACTTTACTGTGTATTGTTTTGCTGAGATGCTCAGCAAAACAGAACTTCCAGCCCAAAGCTCAAAATTTAATATATTAAGACATTTTATTTTAAGAGACTGTAAAAAGATTAAGAGGTTCACGTATTTTAAGCCAATTTGTAGATGATAGATGAAAAATGACAGGCTAGACTGTGATCAGACCATTTCCCTTTAATTCATCTTCTTAGCTTTTGGATTGTGCTTTATCTGTCTCAAAAATGATTTTAGAAAGACAGCTGCCTTACATTTATTGGAGGTCATAAAAGTAATGTATCTGATGTTTAAGTGGACCACTTGAGCAGTAACAATTTCAGTTCAATTTACATTGACAAAATGCTTTATGAGATCAGAGTCCCTTTTCCCCAGTTCGACTTTTACTTCTTCATGACAAAGTAGACTGTTTTATCAGTTCTCCGTGCTTCCGCTAGTTCCAAAGCTGGACTTCTTGTCACTGATATTAGCTTAATTGGAAGGAATGAGTTAAATAAATTCTAATGTATATGCACAGTTGGAGCCTTTATTTACATGTGTATGAACCAAATCCCTAACTGGGAACAATCTCTTACTCTTAAAAATTGGAGAGTATAGGTTACTGTGGTACATGCCTATAATACTTTGGAGAGACAGAGATCAGAAAGATTGCAGCTTGAAGCCAGCTTAGACAAAAAGTGAATGAGACCCTATCTCAATCAGTAGCTAAGTACAATGGTGCATGCCTGTTATCCCAGCCACAAAGGAAGCTGAGATTGGGAGGATTGAGGTTCCAGGGTAGGGCAGGCAAAAATATTTCCAAAACCCCATCTCAACCCAAAAGGCTGACTGTGGTGGTGTGAGCTTTTGATGGCTCCTATTGGGCAGGAACATTTAGACTTTGCTTACATGTAGATTATTACATTCCACGTGGTAAGAAGAGTTTGATGAGACGTGGTGGGAGGGGCTTTATTTGAATATTTAGACAACTCTTACCTTCTGATAATAGAGGTTTCTCATCTATTCGTTTAACAGAACGATATGTAGCCATGAGAAACAGTTGTCTGTGGTGATAAGCAAGTTATGTATTTTATGTTTAGTACTCTTAACAGGGCGTGAACTCAGGGCCTCTCCCCCTTTGCTTTATCTGTTTATGGCTGGCATTCTACCATTTGAGCCACACATCCAGTTCCTGTCCATACATTTAAGTAAATAGGAAAAGGAAACACAGCTCTAATGATACTATGTACCTTCACTACCACATGAATTGGTAATCCATGTCCAAGACTGAACTGAGTTGTTTCTTTGTCTCCCCCGTAGGACATCTTTTAATGAGTGAAAAATTGCCAGAAGGTAGACCAAAAGAGAAAACTCACGGGGCTTGAAACAATCTCTAAACTGCATTATCAATCCAAAAATAATTGAATAGACTCTATTTAGCCAGTCCATCATCAGGGGAAAAAAAATGAGCAAGGATTAAAATTGGAGGCCTGTTTTGTTCTCCTTATCTTTTTATGCTTGGAAATAATGTAGATGGAATATTTAGACAGTATTGAGAGGAAAGACAATATTAAATTTGGGAAAAGGATATCAAAATGCTAGCTAATTGGTCACCCAGGGAGTAAGAAAATGACGAACAAGACCCAAGAAGAAAATAATATTGTCTCTGTTTGCCCACAGAGTAACTTCTTACAGAACTTTCTATCTCTACCATTGCCAAAAGGAGGAAATAAACATCTCAGTAGCCTGGCTGTTCTCTGGTTGAAGTTACTCCTGAATATATCATTTGGAGAAGATGGGCAGCAAATGATTCTGAGGCTGGATGGCTGTTTAGACCTTCTCACAGAGATGAGCAAGTACAGGCCAAGGAGCAGCCCTTATCTGCCCCTTCTTATTTCTCATAACATTTGCTTCAGCCCGGCGAGTAAGCCCAAGATCCTGGCGAATGGTAAGCTTTCACATTAAACTAGACACACATGTGCTTGCGCGTGCGCACACACACACACACACACACACACACAGACACACTCTCTCTCTCTCTCTCTCTCTCTCTCTCTCTCTCCACTTTTTATATCCTGTGATTATTCGTAGACTGTTCTCTGTCCAGTTCTTCCTAGGATTCAGGCACAGCTTCAGCCTTCCGTGGTAAGCCTGGAGTCTCGAGAGGTTAAGAGATCATGTCAGTCATGATTACTGGTCCGTGTCACGGGCGAATTGGATGTGGAGGTTCCCGGAGGAGCAGTGGGGCAGGGATGCTCTCTGGCGTCCACCCTCACTCCTGGCTGTGTGTGCCCTTCTCTCCTGCTCCTCTCCTCTCTTTTTCAACAAATGCTACTCTGTTGGTGCAGACTTCGTAGACTAGCTGGCCACCTCTTCATCCTGTCTGCTCTCCTTGCCTCTCATCCTTTTATCTCCTTTCCCTGGATTAGTTCTCTCCATAGCGTGACCAGTTTCAGCTACCTGAGTAATTGATGTGGACAGATGTTTCTGTGGACACATACACGAGCACGTAAGCTCTATTTATCTGAAGCACATAGAATTGTGCCTCCATAACTTTTAATGAAGGAGGGAGAGCCTAGTTGGAAAGAGAGTGCAGGTCCAACCAAATAGCCGAATTAGCCGCACAGAGAGGTCGTTTTCCAGGTGTAGGGTAGATGGAGGTAATGATTGATAAGGATCAGAAAGAAATTGAAGCAAAGAAAAAAGAGAAAGCAATGAAGAGATGTGTCTGTAGCTGTGACTGCCTCTGTGGGGTGTGTCTGAGCTCATGTGGGAGGTTTTGTAGGAGACATTGATTTACGGTGGCATGAAACATCCTCCGGCCAGACCACCATTGCCTGGGCCTTTCTTTCTAATATCTGCATCTACAAGGCAAGCCTCTCTATGCTTTGGCAAGAAACAGTGTGCAAACTCGCGTCCAGTGCCCTGCACACCTCTCCTACATGGAAGGTGTTCAGATGCATTATTTTGCTTTTTGAACATGTGGATTTTTTTTACTGATAGTATTGCTCCACTGTTTGGGGATGCACCTCAGAGGTTTCCATCCCGTCCTCTCTGCCGAGTCTGCTCCGTCCTCACATTTGCAGAATGAGGATACTACTAAGCACACCTCTGGGCAAGTAGATGGACATGGAATATCTGTTGCCAGTCCTAATGCGTGGGAGCTACTCATAGCATCTCTTATTATTTATTCACCCTTTTCAGAATGCAGACTTTCTTTGGGGGCTTCTTACTGCCGTCTCACTGGAGAGAGAGTTGGGAGAAGGAAGTGCTTTTAGGGAACTGAAGGAGAAACCCACACTTTCCACATTAGATCCCTGTGGGTTTCTTTTGAGCATCTTGTAATCAGGAACGTTTCTCTGCAGTCAGTTTGAAGCAGATGGACTCGTGTGGTGAGCAGAAGCTTCCCAGTGCCTGGAGATGGGGCTCAGCGGGCTTCCAGGCAGGGATAGGATGAGAGACAGCAGCTGCGCAGGCTCTCTGTGGAGCTGTTAAGGGATGTCGTGGCTTTGGCTTTCTCTTCCATGTGGGGATCTAGTGAGGAGGCCCTGGCAAAGCCAGCTAGCTTGAAATTTTACCAAGGAAATCTGCTGCCTGATCTGAGGGAGAACACCCAGACACCTGGTGTGGCAGTTAGGAGTGGAGTGTGCCTGGAGTGGACCTTACTGATGACAGTCAACCACAGCACTCCTTGGTTTTCGTACTGTAAGGCTCGATTTATCCAGTCAGTCAGAAGACTGGACAAACTATGTTAAAACTCACCTTAAAATAAATAAGCAACTAAAATACTAATGAGAGAGGGAGGAACAAACCGTAAACAAATGCAGCAGTGTGCTCACTAACACTAAGGTGAATGAACTACACAACTTGGGGCGGGGGGGCAGAGAGTGAGGGAAGGTGCAACATTGTACTGTACTATGTATCTGACTTAGGTGACTAACCCTTATGTATGTCACCTTTATAATAACAGTTCACAAAGATAATGGGAGGTAATATAATTTTGATTGGACACCTATGTTCAAGTAAGTAAGAAGGATGTAGAATGCTCTGTTGCTCTAAGGACATTTCCTGGAATTACACTGAGCTTTTGTCATGAGTGTGGAGGAGAGGCCAAAAGAGAGGCAAGTGGGGACTGTTACTGTCATCCAGAAGGGAGCTAAGACACCGATGAACTAGTCTCCTAGGAAAGGGGTGAATCAGAGTCATCTAGACAATGACTATAACTTGAAAAGAAAGCAAGGAGCAGCACTACAGAATGCCCCTCCCAGGGCTCTTCTCCCCAGGGATGCGTAGTCTGTGTGGGCCATGAACCTGGTTAATAGATAGTGCCCCTGAGTCCCAGCAGAACCAGAATTCCTATCTGATAGAGGAGAGGAATAAATTACCACCTTCTCTCTCCAGACTTCATAGATAGGATTAAATGACTTCAATCATACCATATGTAGGTAAGTAAGTGATAAGCTTGGAAATATTTTCAGGAGCTAGGAAACTAAAATCTTGGCAGATCTGAAAGAGAGGAGAGAGGAGCTATTTAAAAAAATAATGGCTACAGATTTTTAAAACTGTTCTAAGACATTAATATGCAGATTCAAGAAGCCCAGATCATTTTAGGCACATAAAAATAAATAATGCATTCCTAACACAGCATGAAGGATCTATAGAAAACTAAATAAAAGCTTGCCTTATAAGAATAACTGTAAAACAGGAAGCCTCAAAGCCCAAAAACTATGAAAGACATGGAGTTAATGAGAAACTAGCAATATACAAAAATCCTAGGTTCAGTGATGTGTTATCAGTGAGTTATACCAACCACTGAACAAAATAAATGGGTTATAACTCATTAAGTACTTCCTTCTGAATTATTGTTGTCCTTCAATAAATGTGCCTTGTGAATTTAGTCCAGGATTTAGGTAGTCTTGATCTCTTTGGCTGTTCTTCACCTGCCGTGAAAACCAGTGGTCCTTCTATATAACACAAGTCATAAAAGATGGCTCTGGCCACAGTTTGTCGATACCGACTTTATATATGTCTAGTGGGAAAAGCAGATGTCCTGCTAGTCTGATAGGAAAAAGCAGTGTACTGTCTGTAACTGAACTTTTTGGTAAATGTGTTTATTTTTAGAAAAAGTCATTACTATGCTTGCAGCCTGTCTAGAAAGTGATCATCAAGATGCTCAGAGGATTGGAGCAGCTGCACTTTGGGCTCTGACTTACAATTACCAGAAGGTCCGTTTTTAAAGTCATTGTTCCTATGGGATTATCACAGTGAAATTCCCCCATACTCTTAATGTATGCAAAAAAAAAGAGAAGTCATTGGTATACCAGGGCAGGATAGAATAAACAACTGGGCCTCTTAGGATCATCCAGGAGACCTGTATTCCTCCGTTCAGTCATATAATGAGTACTCCAGTAATTGAAATCCTTTTCATTTTGTCATTCCATTAGAATGTCACAGTTCAGAAGAGTACCTCTGTTTTGAGTTTCCTTGTCAGTTTAAATTGATTTGCCATTTTGTCCTAATTTTATTTTTCTAGAAATGTTTTAAGGAAATGTGCATCTTGATATAAGGCCAAGTAGCAGAGTTTTGTCCAGTTACATGATCTTTCTCTCCTCTGTGTGGTTCCGGTGAGGGCCGGCTTGCCCAGGGAGCATGTCATGCTGGGCACAGTGGGCACTTCTGTCCATTCTCTTCCCTGGTCTTGGTCTCCTCTTTTATGGGAGACATTGCTCACTGAGGAGAAATCCCTATCAGGATCTAGCTGTGAGTAAGTAAGCCGATGACAGCTTCCTGGGTTGGGGTCTGCGCCCGGATGCTGTCGCTCTCCCTCCCCCTGGCCTGGGGCACAGTGGAAGTTGCTGCTGTGGCCACTCACCCACTGTCCCACAGGATTTGGCACTTGGTTGCCACTCAGTGAATATTTGTTGGTCCAGTTGTAATATTTGAAATACTTTATCTGAAATCCAATATTTAAAGAATGTGAAATTCCCTAAGGTCGACTAGCTCAAAATGGCAAATTGGGAGAAGGAATAGAAGGTAAAGACCATGAACAGTAGTAAAAGGATTGAGTGACTTCTGAGAAGGGTTCAGCGCTGCAGTTAGCACTGGGCAGAATTAGTATTATGTTTTCCTGATCCTTTTGGTGGGGACTTACCTCTCCTGGATTGTCCTTTATCATCTGTAGGCAAAAACAACTTTGAAAAATCCATCCATAAAAAGAAGAGTGGATGAAGCATATTCCTTAGCAAAAAGAAGTAAGTTTTCTTATGTAAGAAATTATATTTAAACATAGGAATTACTAAATAAGTCCTCTGCTTATTGAAATATTTAGATAGGTCAAAATGGAGGTTTTTTTACACTGTTAATTGAACTTTGAGAAGCTTCCTTGTCAGTGCATTGTAAAATTTGTCAATATTTGGTCCACTCAGTTCATTGGAACATTTTTTACATAAAATATTCTGATACCTCATTTCGAAATGAAATGTTGGAGACATAACGGGTTCTTAACATGTATCTTTGTTCTTTCTTCAAGTCCGTATTTTTTTACTAAAATTTCAGTGACTTCTACCATGCTAAAAGGGTGTTTATAGGGTGTAAGAGCTGTGCCCAATTGGAATTGACCTTGAGCAGAAAACTTTAAAGTAATATCAGGGAGAGGACTTGCAATCTTCTAAGAATAGATCACAGTGCCCACCTATCCACATTCCGCTTCAGTCTATACGGTTTGAGAGAAGGATTTCTTTTCACGTCACTCATTTTTAAGTGACACCAGTTTTCAGTGGGCATTGAACATTGAAAATTGAACGTTAATTATATGACAATTGAACTGTGTCTTTCCTGTACTGCCATGGATCTAGTGGTTACTAATTTGTTTTAATAGTCTGACTATTGATTTTTAAAGGAGGGGCGGTTTTGGTTTGTTGCTAGCTGTGACTATGAATTCAGGAGGAAGTGAATAATTAAGTTCCAAAGTTTATGTTCTAGGAGGATGGTGCCTAAAGTAATTGTGTTCACTTGATCATAGTTAATTATGTCTACCTCTAAGGTGCATTTCTAAATACATTTGAGATAAACTATTAATAAAAAATAAATGTAAGTTCTGTAAATTGATCTTTTAAAATATGAAACATCTTGATCACTTTTAGTGATTAGGAACTAAAACAGAAGTTTATATGCAAATCTAATCCATCTGTTTGTGTAAGAGATTCCACTCTTACGCGCAGTACTATTTAATAATGTGACATTGCTCACTCATTGTTTTCTGTTTCAGCTTTCTCAGACTCAGAAGAAAACCCACTAAATGCCTACTATTTAAAATGTCTTGAAAACCTTGTGCAGCTGCTGAACTCTTCCTGAGCCATGAGCGCTGCCCCTCAGGCTGACAGCCACGCAGAGGAGAACTGGACCTGAGACTCTGGGCAGCCCCTGCCCTGCAGCAGGTGCCCGCTCTGCAGACTGCTCGCCGCCCTCATCCCGGAGAAACAGAGGAACACTGACGCTGGTGGGCGACGCCCACTGCGCCCACTTCTGTGCTTCTCTAGAAGACTGACAGACCCTAGGGAAAGCAGTGTTTTTACCTACTGCTATGCAATTTACTCTGTAAAAATCCTATTTAATATTTAATAAAAACAATGTTTTTAGAAACTAAAATTCACCTGGTCATTGCTGCTTGCACATTTTTCTGAGTCTCATCAGTTTTAGGAACTAAAAGACAGTTTTGTGTTTTGGTTTCTTTTTAAAAAAATGTTTTTGTTTTGTTTGGTGAGGAAGAGAAAGCAATTGATTATTATTCTGAGCAAAATGTTGTCTGAAACACTATGGTGAAACCCCTCAGGACAGTTAATACACACTAAACAATACCAACTTCCATAGGAAAGTTGCCAGGTGCCAGTGGCTCATGCCTGTAAGCAGTCCTAGCTACTCAGGAGGCTGAGGTCTAAAGATCAAGATTCATAGTGAGCCCAGGCAGGAAAGTTCATGAGATGCTTATCTTCAATTCACCGAAAGTGGAGGTGTGGCTCACATGTTAGAGCCTTAGCCTTGAGCAGAAAAGCCCCAAGAATAGCATCTAGATCCACACCCACACCCACACAACAATAGCTGGGTGCCAGGGCTCATGCCTGTAATTCTAGCTACTAAGGAGGTTATGAGAGTCTTATCTCCAGTTAACCACCAGAAAACCAGAAGTGGCACTGTGGTTCAAGTGGTAGAGTGCTCACCTTGAGCTAAAGAGCTTAGGGACAGCGCTCAGGCCTAGAGTTCAAGACCCATGACTGACAAAAAACAAAACAAAACCAAAAAACCAGGCTGTGATATGGGAGGGCTAATGAAGAACATGAAGAAGATGAATATGGCCAACGTAGTTTACCAAAAATAGAATAATGAAACTCGTTGAAATCATTAGAACAATTGTAAGGAGAAAGAGTGGGCTAAGGCAGATTGGTGGAGGTAAAGCCAGTTGGGACAGATCACATTTACATGTGGAAAGGTAGCAATGACTGTCCCTTTATGCAACTAGTATATGATAATTAAAACTGTCAACATGAAATTTGGCTTTTGTCAATATAAACCCTTAACTTCAAACTTTTATCCAGAGCATACACACTGGTAAACTATAGTGCAAGTAAATATATATAATTCTGTATCTTTCTCATGCCATTTTTTAGTGATATTCCTCTAAATTGTTTCTCAATCAGTTATATCTAGAATTTTCAGCTATAGAAAGGTTGTATAATAAAGTGAGAAACGCACTTGTGGTCCTGTAGGCACAGCATGAGCTCTGTGTGGCACTTTAGTACAAAGCATTTATTTATTGTATAGACATACATAAGTACATGCATACATAGAGCATACATACATACATACATGCATGCATACATACAAACTGCCCTTCCCTTGTGGCCCAGGCTGGCCTTGAAAATCTTTCCAGTTTCCCAGGTGCTGTGATTGCCAGTGTGTACCACTGTGCCCAGCTTGCAGAACTCTTAGTTAACTGATAGTTGGGAAATATATATGCTTTAAGATTTTTATTGACACAGTTTTGCATAGTCTGAGGAGTGTGCCATTTTAGTTCAGTACTTATGTAGGATGTAGAATAATCAGAGTATTATCTTGAGACAGTGAATTTCATATTTGGCATCTTTTGTGTTGGAAGACTCAAAATCCTTTTCTCTAGCTATTTTGAAATACACAGTTGTTTTCAAGTATGTTTTCCTTCTGTGTCGTAGAACATTATTACTTCTCTATCCCACTGTGCCCTCTACCATCCTCTCCTCTCATGACATTTTGAAACCAGAATCAGTCTAGGTATCATTTAATTCTCTGAAATCCCCAACTTTTTAAATGTAATTCAGAATGCCCTGAAATCTGATCATTTTTGAAAAAAACTCAGTTTTAAAATTTACTAATAAAGACTACGTAGTTATTACAACATCCAAGAAACTAACCTGAGGCATTTCTCACGCAGGCCATGCGATACAGATCCTAAACCCATGCTCACCATTTTTAATAGTTTCCCCAAAACCTTTGAAAGAAGGGGAAAGAAAAAAAGAATAAAGTTGCCTAGTTGGCTTTGAACTTGAGATCATACAGGTGTGTGATGTTATTTAGGGTGGAAGTCTGAGGACAAAGCACATGTTAAGTATTACAATTGAAATGGGTAGGTGTGTGCTGCCTGAGAATCTGATTGTGATCTGCAGAGTAAACTTAGCAGTTCGGGGGTTCTCAGCAGCCCAGGTTAATTTGAAGCAATAGCGGCATCAGTTATTCTAGAAAACTCACCACGGGAATCTTCAGAATTATTTCTCCCTTTTCTCTTAGGTTATCATATTCTGCCTTGATCTCATGGCATTTCCTTGTAAGTGCTCACTGATGAGTAAATGAGATGAATTTCATTATGACTTCCAACCAGAGTTTTTTTTCCTATGTCCCAGTCATTGTTCTTAGCATTTTTATTATTTAATCTGTCTTATTCTGTATCCTGTGTTCAGAATGAATAAATGGACCTTGGAGTGGGAATATGCCCGTTGCCTATGCTGGTTAATGGTTGCATTTGGATTCCGGCATACCTGCTCACAAGCCTGACTTTTCTCAACCACCAGGCTCTACTGTCTTCCTCTACTAAAATGTCTGACGTTATGTTTAGATTTTGCGGCTAATCACCATTTTCCTGTAAAAATTTGCTCTCTTTAGGGACATGAGCCTTTTTTTTACGGTTCACTGATTGATTGCTCCACACATCAGAGTGTGCTGTACTGATCATCTCTTTGGAACCTGGAAGACTTGTGATTATTTCTCACAGGAGTTCATGGTAGGACCATAAACGAATGGGATTTGTAATCCATTAGCAGACCTCTCCGGGTGCTGCCAGGTGCAGAGGACTGCAGAACTGGGGCCGGAGAAGGGTGAGGTGTCGGGAAGACGTACACTGGGCATGTGCTGTGTCCAGGAACAGCAGGCTGAGCACATGCAGTGGTCCTGGTCCTTGGCAGCAGTCCTTCCCATGCGAATCTCAGAATTGTGTCCCCAGTTTCACAGAAAATTGCCCAGACCATAATGATGACTTAATGTCCTTGAGACCTGAATCAGTCTTTTGAAAGGCAGCTCTAGTTCAAGCAGGGCTCGTGAAAACTGTCAGGGAACTGCTTTCTAGCCTCCATTTTTCCATTTCCTGGCACTTTAGGATGGGTGGGCTGGTGTGGTCTCTGTGTTACAGAGACCATCACATATAGTCTATAGCTTATGAAACGGCCAACAATAATGCTGAGCTTCTGAATCTGAGACCCGGAACAGATTTGGGGAGGAGGCCACCAACCATTTCCCCTTCTGTGATGTGAAATAAACTTGTCCATCCACAGTAACTTTCCAGTTGTTCCCAATCTGGAGGGTTTCTGGAGTCTCTAATCTTAAACTATGACCTTACCCAGACTTGGCAGAATGGTGGCAAGAGCATGATTAGCGTAGCTGCCTTGCCGATCCCCGGGGACTGTTAGTTGTTCAAGTATCAGACAGAGCCTGAGCCCAGCACAGTAATCCTAGCTACTCAGGAGGCTGGGATCTGAGGATTGCACTTCAAAGCCAGCCCTAGCAGGAAAGCCTGTGGGGCTCTTTTCTCTAATAAACCAACAGAAAAGTGGAAGTGGAGCTGTGGTTGAGCAAAATGCTCAATGTGGTTGAGCACTAGCCTTGAGCAAAAGAGCTCAGGGATAGTGCCTAGGCCCTGAGTTCAAGCCCCATGACCAACAGAGAGAGGGGTGGGAAGGAGGGAGAGATAGGGAGAGGGAGGGAGAGGGAGGGGGAGAGAGAGATAGGAAGGGGGGACGGAGGGAGAGATCCTGAGAGAACAGTTAAAAGCAGAGGTGCCCTGAGCCTTGTGGAGCTGGGAACAACCCGGCTGGGGCAGGGGGGGCCACTGCGTGTCCCCCGAGACACGCTCAAGGCTCTTAAGGTGCCTGCTCTGAAGTTTCTGAGAAGGCCGAGTGCATAGCATAGTAGTTGGGATGCAGTTGACTGTCCTTGAGATGCGATCAGTGGTTACAAAATTCCCTCAAATTCCTCTCTAATAAAGGGAGTCAGTCTTTTTTTTTTATCCTTCCCGACTTCTCTCCCTTCAGGGAGGGGATGTGTTGGGCTCCTACAGGTGAGGTTCCACGTTCTAAGGGACGGCCATCTGCTGGGAAGATCCCTGGCCACCCGCTCCAGGCTGAGCCCTGCCGTCCATCCCTCAGTGAGTCATTCACTGGGAACCTCCTGTCTGCAGCCAGGCCCAGCATACACCGGCATGACAGGGTACGTATTACTTGTCTGCTTATCTGCTTGTCTGGGTTAAACACCACGTTCTCCATTTCGCATGTGAAGATGGAAAGTTCCAAAAATGACCACCTCACTAGCCAAAAGAAAGAAGCCGTTTGGGGTGGTGGTTGTGATTCCCTAGAGGAAGAGAATTAGTCATCAACATGCTAGAGTTTCTGTGAACAAGAAAACTAAGTTCACTCTTCCCAAAGAAATTTCTCCTACAACTCGAGTGCTAAACCGTGTGGGACTGAGCGAGGGGAGCTGAGCCTGGCGGCTCTGGATGTACAGAAGACACTGCAGGACCCAGGAATTCTGAGATTTGGCAGCTATGCCCACAAGGCACTCAGCATGGTGGTGTTCTAAATGTTCCCGACAACAATTATTTTTGTGTTGCGTCTGCTCCTTCTGCATCTGAAAATCTGTTTCTGAAAGAAAATAATAATAATAAAACAACCCCACCAAAAACCCTTTCAGAACAGTGCTGCGCAAAGCATCCTTATGGAACATACAAAACAGTTCTCCTACAGGAACCCTTTCCATGCATTTATCAGCGGCATGGGTGTGCCTCTGCTGTATCTGCATCCGGGGGAACATTGGCAGCAGGCATTCTGGCAGCAGATGGCTGCAGAGCTGTGTAAAACTCTGAAATTCTGATGTAAGGCCCTCATGTTTTTTCTTTGACTTACCATGGAAAGAATCAGATTATAAAATGGAAACCTACTGTTTTTTCCCATTGTCACTAGCATGAATTGTAGGGAGGGCTCATTTATGACATGGCCATGTATGCGTACAGTGTACTTTCCTTCACT